GTCGCCAGAAATATGTTGGTAGGAATACAGAGACACAGTTATTAATATGCGTAAAATCCTAACAGCAATGGATATCATTCCAAAAGCAACTCTCAGGATATCAACATTTAGAAATTTCCTTGCTCTGCATCTGCACTTAGGAAGGAGAAAACCATTCTCGAAAAAATTAAATTGAATTTTGTTTTAAATCTTAATGCTGCCAGGTGAAGCCACATCTTATCTCATATTGGATATATGTTATTATGCTTGCTAAGAAGAAAATGCTTTGTATATAATAAATACACTAGAACGACCAGGCTGAAATAAGTAGATATATAATTTCTATTCAATCGCCAGTGTTTGAGCAATAACAAACATAAACGAATGTTTCACATATGTTTAGCCTCATTCGTCATGGTCTCATCAGTTACACCAACACACATATCTTGGAAGAAGGGGCCAGTATAGGGTCATTCGTCATGGGGCCTTCGAGTTCAAAGGGCCGCAAAAACAGAGTTTAGCGGGTTAGGAGGTTAAATGTTATTTGGCCTTGACTTGAAAGGACTCTTGCAGGCCCTGCCCGCACCGCACACATAAATTTTTATTATTAAGTTTTATTATTATGTTATAACCACAAGTAATAATAATTATTATTATTGTTTGTGCTTTACCTGAGTTGTTTTTTGGCTGTAAAAATTTTTCTAAAGGGTCTATAAAACTTTTTCGTCGGCTGCTTTATTGTGATAGATCTGTTGATATAAAATATGCACATTATTGATGGTGAATTGGTAATTGGGGAATTCGTCACCTTTTGCTTATTACACACACACACACGCACATATATATATATACACACACACACATATATATATATATATATATATATATTGTGTACATAGATATATATATATATATATATATATAATATATATATAACTTACCTAAATGTATTAATATGTACATTTGATATTTATTTGACCACATTAATCAATAATCTTATCTTACTTTGTATACATTATACATCCACATTCAAATACAACATACACAAACACACACAACACACACATATCAACACACACTAAAATGAATATATCAAAGAATTTATCAACAAAGAGGAGATATGTAAAAACATTCACCGTGATTGATGAACGAACGGTCGACTCTTGACGTTTTTTTCTTAAACTAAGTTTGTGTCTCTGTTCAAAACCGTTATACACACACACACACCACACACACACACACACACACCACACACACACATACACACACACCAATACAAATTCATTTGAAATAAATTTCATTCGAGACAGAAAAAATTTTGTTTGAAATGAATCGAAGTGAGAGAAAAATTGTGTTAGTTATCATTGTGATGTTTCTGATCCTATTTGGATATTTCTGCTACCACTTCCACGTGCCATGGCCGAATGATTATTACAGGATGAATAATAATTTTCACAGCATGTCTGGCTTACTGCAAGAGAGGCTTTATAACAGGTATACCTATTACGTTGCTGATGAATTCTGCATTGTAGTTAGTTTAAAAGGTGACAGACGGATATGTATAACATTTGTTGTTTAACACATTATTTGGCACATATTTTAGTACCTTCTATCGCAATAATACAATGAAATTAATTATGCGCTCCATTAAGTGAATATAAAATTTTCCTCAAATTGAACTCACATGCTTGGAGACTCAGAACCTTGAAGTCAATCTTGGAAATGTTCGATGAACATAATGTGAGAAAACTTAATGTAATAATAAATATTTCTCGTCATGGAAATCATGTTATTGTTGTTCATGAAACTGTTGTCAACATTCTTTCCAATCATATTATTGCTGTTCGCATCTTTTATAACATAACATAACTGTTGTTAACATTTTTGCCAACAATGCTAATTCAGGTAAAAATTGATTACCTGAAAATCGACATAGGGGATTGGGAATGGGATGCCAGGGACACAGCCCTCAAGGATGGATGGTTCACTGAAGAATGTTAAACAGATTGGCGTGGAATTTTACAGACTGGTCAAAGTGATTACAGAGAAATATTATTTTTGAGAGGTTGATACTTTTCTCTCGTCTGCACGAAGCTGGCTTTCAGAAGTGGCACACCCGCCTGAACCCCCCTTTGTGATAGTCGACGGTCGAGCCTTACTGAAAAAGTTATATACATTTGTCATGAGCTTTATTTCATCAATGTTTTTATAGCGACGCAACAAAGTAGAAGTTCACCGTGTCCTCACCAAGTAAGAATACGGAACTGCGAACTCAAGCAAGCCATGGCATAACGTGTGATGAGAATGTAGCAAAAAGTGCTGGACATTTTAAAAGATATTTTCAGCAACATGAATTCGATGATATATTTCATTCTCATTTTGATCAAAATATCTTGTAAAAATTGTAGAAATTGTTTCTTAGCAATCTCGCAAACGCAGTGATAACAACTAATAAAACGTTATGTAATCGATACATGTATAACAGGTCTCCGACTGAAGTTTCTTCAACAACCGGTTAAAGTTCATGTGATTCATGTGAATGAAAAATAATTTCAAAATAAGCCGGTATGCCAACAGGCAAATCTTTTTTCGATATAGGGAAGTAAAGTTCGGGTTTATGAACAAACTTTTTCAAATAAATTCACAAGAGTGAAACATCGGTAGGTTATTTAACGATTACGATTCAGTGCTCATTTTATAATTTTAAAGACAAAAATCAGAACATAGTTTTTAGCAACTTCTTCAATTTTTAAAAATTTAATCTGTGCGCAAAATTCACCTTATCATGTTATATTCACAAAATATCTTAATTGATATATTTATTCCCATTAATCAGCATTCAGACAGCAAATTTTTAAAAATACGTTTCATCAACCTTCTTTCAATCCATACAATGTACAAATCAAAACTTGAAGCCGTTGTGCTCCCTTTGGAATGTTGAACTGAAAATTGCTGTCAGTTTTTAATGTACGAACTGTTTACCGGAACCCTAGAAGCCAAACTTCAATGAAATGCGAACTAAATGAAGATTTGTGTATTTAAAGTTTGATAATACTATCAACTAACTCGGCGTAAATTTCAGATTAACAGATGTGAATTAGAACTTCACAAGGAGTTTGTTCACCTTTAAACAAATTAACATCGCCTTCATTAACACTCTACCTACTCACTACGCATTAAAAAGTCTAATTCGTGAAAACCCGCGCGGTCATGTTTTTCAATTTGTAAGAAAACAATGTAGAATAAACATCGTTAATTTTACACACGCCGAAAAATCGATTGCTATCTTGTTGTACAAATAACAACCTACAGCTACGAATAAATGAAATAGGCCATGGATAATTGAACGAAATTAAACATAACTTAATTAAATTGGTGTCAGAAATGTGGACTAGAATTTGTTCATCCGGATGTGTCCACAATTTTTGCAATACTCTCGATATTAAATAAACAAACACGAAATTTTATTCCTTGTCAAGAATTGAACTAGCTTCCATTGCAAAATAAAATCAAACTTCATCTCGCCCACCCCGAGCTAGCATATTCACTCCGTAACGTGCGCATTCATCTCGCACAATTAGAATGTTCACACATACACGTGCACACACACACAAAGACACACCCGTGCATTTGAAAATAACACCCGCCTGCAGCTACGAGTCCGTCATACAGGACTATTTCCGTTACAAATTTTATTACCATTAGTTTTATCATTACTGTCATGGAGATCAAAAACTTTAGGGTTCATTAATTCCACCAACGAATATGCCTTACGTTATGTTATTTATGAACAACGTTTAAAGTCAACAATAAGTGGATGGTACATCGAAGAAAGGTTTAACTTTCAGGAGCATCAATTTTAAAGAGTAAATATTGAAACATTTTAAATCTATTTTCTTACAATGACAAAAAAAACAAACGAAAAACAGAAAAAATTATGAAATTAGTTTTATTACAAGTGGGAGGTTCGAGCCCTTTAAACAACAACCCCCTTGGTACCGTTAGTCACATGTTGTTTCAAGAACTTCTTGTGACATGTGGTATGTCATTTAAAACTATGTAAGACGCAAGCAGTTCTGAAGGAATTCAATTTACAACATAGCCCGTTATTTAAAGTTAGACAAACTCAATGCCTGCTCCCAATTTTTACATCCCTTGCGTTGTGATTTTATTATTTTTATTAGTTAAATGTTTACATATTCAAATTATATTCCGTCTGTCGATAAAATATTGCACGATAGGGGTGAACGATTTTTAATCTTCTGAGTGTACGTGCATACACATGCATACACATGCATACACATGCATACACATACAAACACACGTACACACACATATACTAATGATTTTTTTTACATCATTAGGTATGCACATACTCAGACACACACACACACACACACACACACACACACACCAATATATATATATTTCCAACATTTATGCATATATGTAGCTTTACTGTTAGAAATATTGAAAAGCCCAACCATAAAGAACTCAGTAGTATTTATCAAATATTGCATCAGTTATGGTCTCATTCCAGCCTATATATGTATATATATATATTTTGGTAACAGACTTGTTAACGCAACATTTCAAAAATTCAACACTACTTTCAACATTGTTCAACTTTTTTTATAATTCTTTTTAATTTATTAATTTCAGAGAAATTAGACATTTTATTGTTTTTTAAAAAAATTGTATTAAATAAATTTGCAAATAGCTATTTCGAGTTAAATAGTGCACTGAAGTTATATAATGCACTGAAGATGAGTTATAAATAACTCATCTTCAGTGCATTATATATAAGGTATGTAAGATATTTGATATAAAGGAACAAGTAATTATTAATTTATATAAATTATTTAATTAAAACAGAAAACCAATAAATTATTTATTGGTTAGCATACAGAATAATGATGTATATGTAAATGTTTTGTGCTGTTTAATGTAAAACAATTTCTGAATTATTTGTTTTCATCGGTACATTCGTTTGAAATTTTATGAGGTAATTTTCGTTTAAAATGATTCAAAATAAATTAAAATTGAGAGATCTTGTGCTGGGTTTTATGATATTTCTTCTGATCGGTTCATACTTCCAACAAAATGTTCTCCTACCCAAGTGGAGTCTTGATGTTGACGAGCGTCTGAGCAGCATCCATCCAGACATATACGCCCTCAATGGCTCTCAGTTGGAGTTCGAGTACAACAGGTATGTATGGAAACTCATTAAAATTGCTATTTATTTATTTATTTAACAACTGACCAGAGGGCATCAAGATGTCTCTTACCAAGTCAGAAAAAAATGAACTAAATTCAGCATAAATGGCAGAACAGAAAAAAAAGAAAATGTTATATTAAAAAGATAGATAGCACTCATCATCATCTCTAATATTTCAGTGTTCGATTAACCTAATGAACCTAAACTTGAAAGTAAACTTTTCAACCTTGAAAAAAAAACATCACAGATATGATATGTCATCAGCAAATAGCAGCATAGAAACAGGGTACGATGGAATGCAGTCGTTAATATCGTTGATGAAAATAAGAAACAGAGTGGGTCCTAGAACGCCTCCCTGAGGTGCACCACTGGTTACACATATGAAAGAAGATAACTTTATTTGAATCCGGACGAATTGAGATCGTTCATGTAAAAAATTGATCAACCAGCATTATAATTTACCAGAAATACCGTAGGCTATAAAATTTCAACCACTCAGTTATTGTAACTCATTAAAATTGCTATGAAATTTTAATTACACAGTTACTATAATCGTCAATGATTTAATTTGAAATCATAAACACACGCATATTTTACAACAAAACTTACTAAACGTTCAGATGAAAAAAGTTAAAAATGTGGAAATGTTTTTGAAATGTCAGTTAATGTGAATTTTTTGGTTAATTAGAAGGCTTTTATTAGGTGGAACAAATGTGTTGCCACAGAAAAGTTATTTTGAATTAATTTTACTTGTATAACAATGGCACAGAATGACGCATGTTTTATGAGGAAGACCAAGCGTTCAACTGAATTATTTGTTCTCAAGTGAAGTTGAAGCATTAACAGTGAAGCAACATTAAATCATTAACAGACATTAATAGGGTTTTTCTTTGAACGTACGATGGTGAAGTTATTCCCAGTTGCCATCAAAAGCCTGAAACTGCCCAAACAAACTTTTTAAAGAATCATCAGAATATAACATATATAATTATGATATATATAAACACTCTTTTGCTAAATCAACATTTGCTTTTTCTGGTCCTTTTCTCTGGAACTCTCTACCTACTTCTGTAACCTCTTCTCAATCACTTACGAAGTACAGAGCGGATCTCAAGACCCATCTGTTTCCAAAATTTACTGAAGAGCGCTATAAACATAGTGGAAATAACGCTTTACAAACTAATTGATTGATTGATTGATTGATTGACTGATTGATTGATTGATTGATTGATTGATTGATTGATTGATTGATTGATTGATTGATTGATTGATTGATTGATTGATTGATTGATTGATTGATTGATTGATTGATTGATTGATTGATTGATTGATTGATTGATTGATTGATTGATTGATTGATTGATTGATCGATCGATCGATCGATCGATCAATCGATCAATCCCAGGTACGTAAGTGAAAATGAAGTCGACTGCAAGAAATCAGTGAGGATAGGCAACGTGGGAGATGGGGGCTGGGACGTTTGTGTTGACGGTCTCTATCTGCCTCGACAGCCCTGCCTCGTCTACTCTTTCGGGTTAATTGCGATGTGGTTATATTCTCGCATGAAAAGCAGGCCTCATTTGATAGGAACAACATAGTCCTTAAGGACTAAAACGGATTATCATTTAAAATTTTATTTACGTTAATTGTGATGAATAAATTGACTAGAGACCATTTTTTCATATTAGCCAAACTAATGATATATACGTATGTAGCGAAGTTGAAATTTGATAGGCAGAGCATTACTGCCAATTTTTTTAGGATCGTATTTCATTAAACATAATCTTCTTTCCCATGCTATAAATTTGGTTTTAAACCAGCATAAAAGATGATTGGTCCTTCGATGATGGCACGGTAAGCTCGTTCAATTGCACGGTACGTGCCTTCGATCCGAGGTTGGTATTTTAGGGCTTCATGTTTCGTAATATTTTAATTTTTCATGTTTGAACCACGGTGAGATGTTTTTCACAATGGGACGGTTGATCATTACTGCACAACCACCTTCACGATTATACAAACACAAAAATTTTGCGCATAAATATATGCGAGGCGATTTTTTTAAAATTTAATAAATTAAATTTAAAATTTGGGCACCAAATTTGATTGCACAAACGCACTTAATTACAGATTAATATATTTAACACCACGAGTACCAACATATTCACCAATAGTATAACGTCGCTGTCGCCCAAAAGAAACGAATCAATATACTTCTACTCGGAAGGCCTGGCTGGTTCCAACAAAAACAATAGTAAACATTGGAAGCTTAGAACACTAAATTCTTTTAGGGAAATGTTCAATGAACAAAATGTTAGAAGTTTTTATATACAACAAGCTTAAAATGTGTTTTAATAACCTTTTAAACAATCCCAAATTCAGAGTACAATCGATTACCTAAAAATAGACATCGAGAGTTATGAATGGGAGTCGATGGATACAGCTGTCAAAGATGGTTCTTTGAGGAATGTTAAGCAGATTGGTGTTGAGTTTCACAGGACCGGCACGCTCACAAAGGAATTCTATCTGGATAAGTTGAACACTTTTGCTCGTCTGCATGATGCTGGTTTTCGAAAGTGGCGCACCCATCTGAATGTTCCTTGTGGAGTCCTGTACTCAGACATCACGCAGGGTTTCATGTCCATCTGCAACGAACTTTACTATCTCAACTTGCTTTATAGCTGATGTGTTTCTGTTAGATTATGGTGCTAAATTTGTCTTCCAAAATAAGGAAAATAATTTCAAATGTTTATAATTTTTCATGAGACTGAATAATTCTAAAATTAACTTAATCAATTAATTTGTTTGGCGTTTGCAGCTTGTTGAAATCATCAAAATGAAAGTTAATCGATTTACATGAACTTTTTACCGAATTTCTAGCGTTGGATAGTTTTTTGTTACATTTCTCAATGTTTCTAACCAAATTCTTGTCGTCATTATTTATTATTAAAAGTTAATTAATGTACAGTTTTTATATTGTAAACCATATCACTAGAATAAAAAACTATCTAATGCTATTTATTTATTTATATTTATTTCATAAATTTTATATTATATAGTACATTTCAAAATTCAAAAAAGTATTTTTTTTCTTTGTTGGCATAATAAAATTAAATTAAAAAATGAGTTGTTTGTTGTTATTCTTCGATTTAAGAAGCAAATGAGCAATCCAGAAAAGGCTTTAAATTAGCCGAAACTAAATTTAATGTTAAACATGATGATTAGAATTGGAATTCTTAATTTTAAGTGCCTATAAAATCTATTTCTACCAAAAAGTGCTCTATAAATTTGCATATACAATGTTCATTTGACGAAATAGAGGAATTGTTAGTGCTGTTTTAAAGTTGAACGCTATAAAAATTTCAAAAGATTGTATAAATATTTTGATTATAAAATAAAAAAACTTGTTTGCACAAATATGAACATTTCGATGATAAAGGGGGATAGCGCCACGAAATGTTTCGTTTTGTTTGTCTCCTTTATCTTCATCTTCGTCAACTATAAGCGAAAAAAATATTATGAGCTGGAAATTTCAAACCAAGATGGTCTCCTATTAGAAAATCATTACAAGTAACTAATTATTTCAAAATCTTACTCGGAAAAATTGAAAAATTATTGAAAATCGCTCAGGCTTAAAAATTATAGTCTCACTAACTATTTTACTTATTTTAAATATTTTACATCACTCTTGCGTTTTTCAACAATGGATATATTGATACCCATGGTTTCAACTGCGACACAAGTCATATCGCCTAATGAGCGTGTCACAAATGAGCTGAGCATAGCTACAACGACCGACCTATATAGCTTTTACACAATCTTTGATGTCAATTATGCACGCGTCAAAAACATAAGCGAAGAAGTGAGAGGGCAGAGCAAGCCTGTATGCTCAATCGCTCATGCATATGCTGTTTAAGTAGCAGCTAACATGCATGCATATGCATATGTTATATGCTTATATCAAGCTAACTGTATATTATATAAAAAGTTATTATTTATCTGCCGTATTTTGTTTGTAGAAAATCATACACAATGCGTTTTCTAAATCAATAACGGTAGTTATAGAAACTCAATTTTATTTGACATTCTAAATCATTTGCTAAGTAATTTGCTAGATCCCCTTAAAAATGTACAATAACAAAGACGAACATGAACATACGCATACATATGAACAAGTTTACGGATGATGTTATGCATGTTATATGAATACTGCCATAACTTGATATAAATTATTATAGTATAATACACACGCATATATATGTATAGATATAGACGTATACAAATGCATATATATATTAGAAGCTATATTTTTGTAATAGTGTTTTTTAATAGGATAATGTTATAATAGGAGCTAATAATATTAAGACAACAGTTACACAAAGTTAGACATTTATTAGGTAAAAACCTGCCCGTGGGACCCAAAATTTAGCTTTGGATCACGTTTATAATTAATAATATAGTTGTAATTAGGCGGGAAATTATAAATTTCATTTCAGTTTTTTCAGAGTAAAATAACGTCGCATGCGGAGCAAGTGTGGCTGCATATATTTAGATTTCTATTGGCTTTACAACAGTAATAACATCATTAATTATAAGAATATGAAATTTTTAATAATAGTTCATAAACATCAAAAAACAAAGGTTCATTTCATAACAATAAGTGGTGCAGAAAAAGTTGTTGTGATATGATGGTGATAAAGATTACGGTGGCAACATAATTTAATACGTTTAGAGTGTTTCCAAAATTGATGTATGGTGGAGTGTTTGTTTTCATTTATGTATAGTATAAGTAAAAGTTGATGTTCCTATAAGATTTTCATTGTTTGATAATTACAATACTCTTATCCTCAGAAGTATAATTGTGGTTTGCGAGTGTTCTTTGCGATTCTGTTGTTTGTGAACATATTGTCTATTAATTTGTGCATTTGTATGTGTGTGCTCATGTATGTATGTGCTCATGTATGTGTGTGCTCATGTATGTGTGCTGTGCATTAATGTCCGTATGCGTTAATGTATGTGTGCTGTGCACTATGTCCGTGTATGCTCATGCTGGTGTCTGCTTTTGTCCGATGCGCGCTTATGTCTGTTTGAATATTTTTTCCTGTTTGCAAATTTATGCGTGCGCTGTTGTCTCTGTGGTTTTTGTCTGTACGTTTTTTTGGACGCTTTTTTCTTACTACCATATGTATGTATTACTACATTAGTAGTAGTAGTTGTTGTTGTTGTTGTAGTAGTTGTTGTTGTGGTAATAGCAGTTAGTAATAGCAATAATGAATGGTGAAAAAATGTTTTCGTGATACGACGCACTGAAATGCTCCAACTTTTCGAGTTTTGAACACCTTGAGGGCCTGTTTTATTTCGGTGGCTGATATATTTTTAGAAAGGTAGTTTTTTTCTACACATGTAGTAGAAATATTTTTTGAGGTCGCAATTAATAATAATTGGTAATCGATTTTTATGGTCATCCTACTGTGTATTAATTTACTATATCATGTTCAATAATTCATACAATCATTGTTCATCATCCAAACGTTACTTAAATATATAGAATGCATACCTTTTACATACATTTCAATGATCAGTTAAGCAGCTTCTATAGCTATACAATTTCGAGTAAAATATGTGAGCACCTTAAGCAGATGGTTCTCTCTTTTTTCACGATCTCTCCACGCATAATATATAGGTCGGTCGTCGTGACAGAGAGTGGAGCCCCAAGCAGGGAAAATTTTTTCAAACCGCAACCGCCCACATCCGCGAGAAGGCAACCTAAATCGGCCGTCTTAATCTCATGTTTATAATTAGATGGTAATACTAGAGAGCAATTTGTTTGCAGTATAATTAAAATCTGACAGCAGATAATCAGCTGAGAAAAAAATTAATAAATTTCTTATTTAATAATTGAAATAACATCGGCCAGAACAACGAGCACGAAATGAATGATGGCTATTTATTTAATATTTATATGGATGTTATGTTATATGTTGGTCGTACCAATATATATATATATATATATATATATATATATATTTCAGTGGTGTGTAGTTATTAACTACAAATTGTTAACTACTAGTTAATAACTACTTGCTAGTAGTTAAGCTGTAGTTAATAACTATTTTTTTCAAAGTAGTTATTAACTAGTAGTTAACTATTTTTTTAGTAGTTAATAACTACAGTAGTTAACTATTTTACATAACTACTTATAATAATAAGCTAATATTTGATCGCCCCTATTTGTGTGCATGCATTGTTGTGTTACTGTTGAAAACAGACATGGTCATCTAATATGCATTTGCTATGCATGACTAATCATTCACATGCTGGATAACAAATGGTTGTATACAACAATGAGCAAAACATATATAAAACATATATACAATATATCATATATATTTATATATATAACATATTGTATATGGACACATATAATAGACATTTTTAAAAATAAATTCGACATTACAAGCTCAGCTGCTGTTGAAAGGCTAATCAGTGTTGCCGGACAAATTTTTACTAATAAACGCTGCAAGTTGTCTGATGAACACATAGACAAAATGATTTTTTCGAGAGATTATCTCAGAAAGTCATTAATTTGACATAATTTTTATGAATAAAACCTTTCAAATAAAAGTTAGTTTGTCTTTAAATTTATCAGTTAACTTTAGTAATTATTAAAAATTACTATTGCAAAAATTAGTAATTTAGTATCGAAAGGTTGTAAACACCAGTTTCTTTTTAAATGGCAATGTTTGGAAAGTAGTTAACTACTAGTTAACTACTAGGTGGTAGTTAAAGAGTAGTTACTAACTACTGTTGTGCAAAGTAGTTGAAAAGTAGTTACTAACTAGATTTTTTCAAAGTAGTTAACTATAGTAGTTAACTACATTTTTTAAGTAGTTAGCACAACACTGATATATATATATATATGTTGGTAATAGACCATAATTTTTACAATATTCTATAAATTCTACCGAATGTTTGGCGTTAATATGTTTGTAGTTCGTTTTTTCTCACTAAAGTTTTTTGGTGAACGTTTAGTTTAATAAAATTCAAAATAAAATTATTTTTCGAATTCATGCTGCAAATAAGGCCATATTTCGATTCCGAATGAATCATCGTCAGTGATATATATATATGTACAATACATACACACACACACATATTTATATATATATAATCGTATATGTGTATATATGATGATCTTAACATTTGTGTTAAGTATCAAAGATAGAAACACTTCACACATACGTTTTGTATAAAACACATATGCACACACATTTGCATACACATATGCATGGACCATAGACTTCTATATAGTAAAACTGGTAACAATGGCTTGAAACCTCATTGCGGTTATCCGCTTAGGGCTATAGCTGGGAGCTAAGTTCAGTCTCTACATGCAGAAGCTGGAACCTGATCATCGTAATGATACACCAGGAGGTACACCACCGCACCATCTAGCATGTGATGTTTCGTCTTCCTGAAAATTTCTTAGGTGTACCGGGTAGATAATAATATTCAAACAAAAGACTTTAAACCTGTGAAAAAGTCACATCAACGTTATCAAAAAACTAAGCCATTCAAATTCTGTGTAAATGCATAATAAAAATATTTTCAAACTTTGTTCAGATACATAAGCGAAGTGAGCGTCAAATGCAACAAACCTGTGCGGATGGGAAGCGAGGAAGATGGTGGGTGGGATGTTTGTGTTGATGGTCCCTTCAAACCTCTTCAGCCCTGCCTCGTCTACTCCTTCGGGTTGACCTTCACTCAACTTCTTATAATGAATTAGCACATTGTGAATAGCAGGCGATAATCTCTTAATCTCGCTCGCTGCAACTAAATAGTACTCTAACAAATGAAAAAAGTTGTATACCCGTTGAAAAAATCTATTTAAAACTTTCAATTCTTAATCTTACTAATGCAGTATTAACTACGACTGGTCTTTTGATGACGACATTGTTGAGACGTTCAACTGCACCGTCCGAGCTTTCGATCCGAGGTGAGATTTGAGTATTTAATTACCATTAAAATAATTAATTTATAAAAAAACACATAAAACACTTGAACTAGAACATATTTGCGTTCTGCGTTTGGCTAATTTTGCCGAAATATATGCTTTTTCATTTGGCTTAATTGTTTAACCAGGGGGGAAGACATTACCCCTTAAAAAATAGTTACCGTTCATTAATTGATTTATATGTATAATAAAAAGGTTAACCCTTACTCGTTATGTTTTTGGTAACAAATGATCTCCTTTATTGATAGTTACAAAAAATCGTTTCAACCAGTTTTTTATATAATAAAATCCTCACTAAGTAAAAGTGGAAGCAAGTACTTTTGTATAACAGTAGGTTATAATGGATTACAAATGAGTACTTTGAATAAATTAGAGGTAAGAAAAAGAATTAATTTTTTAACAAATTTTTAGATTTTTGTAAAAACAATTTTCTAAGCAAACATTTAAATTTAAATAAAGTTAATTCAAACAAATTGGTCTTCAAAGTTTATAAAACACACACTCAAATTTTTTTGCCATATTTAAGCAAAGATATTTTTTATGTTATTGAATTAAAAAAAAGTTGAATTTGTTTTGAAAAAGCATGCCAGAAGAGAACCACGTACGAAAGAAGATGATACATTTCTATGGAGAAGGTCTGGCGGGTTCCAACCAGGTCAACCAGAAGCAGTGGAGACTCAGAACACTGAAGTCCTTCAGAGAAATTTTCAACGAACAAAATGTTGGATGATATTTAGTGCCATTTTGTAACGGTTAAGTGTTTGGAACTTCTGTAGCAGTGGCTAGGTTCGAATGCACGCGCATCAATTCACGCGCAGTCACATGTGTGCGTGTGCGAGTGTGTGTGCGAGTGTACGTGTGCGAGTGTGTGCTGTGAGTGAATGTGTGTGTGTTAGTGGCACTTTTTAGGAATATTAAAGTAAAATTTGATATAGAAAATAAATAATTAATGTTTTTTTTATAATACTCTTTTCTGCCTCAAAATCAGGTAACAATAAATTACCTTAAAATGGACATTGAGGATTGGGAGTGGGAATCCATAGGCACAGCCCTCAAAGACGGATCACTGAGTAACGTTAAACAAATGGGTGTTGAATTCCACAGAGGCAGTCAGAATCTTACGGAAGAATTTTACCGAAACAATTTGTACATATTTTCTCTCCTGCAGGATGCTGGCTTTCGAAAGTGGCACACAAATACGAACATTCCTTGCGGGACGAAAATTTCCGGTCTAACAGGAAAGTCGATATACAAGTGCCATGAATTATATTATATAAAAGTACTCTGAAAGTAGTTAAATGGATGCAAATAAATATATCTATTACGTATAACACAGTGATTGTTATTTTTTTTAATACAAACACTGGCGTACGTTCGGTTAAATGTTTCAAGATTTAACTCATTCATTCAATCAATTAATCAATCAATTAGTTTTAGAATGGCCTAAAAATTTTTATATGAATTTTAAATAAAAAATCACCAGAAAAACAAAATCATCATTTTCAATTTCATACATACATTTCACGCAAACTGATTATTAAGTTTTTCTTCCTCAAATTTTTCCTTGGAAGAATCATTAAGAACACGATGCGAAAGAGAATTCAACTCTAAATTAAATGAGTATTTAATTATCGCTCGGTCAATTTTCCTTCGTTATTGTTTTCGAAATGTTCTCGTTGTCACCATAATTATTATTGTAGTTATGATTACACGCAAATAAAATTGATAATGGCGTTTAAATCGCGAGTGTCTCGCTAAACCCTTGGCTGCCATTTCCTTATATATATTCCCGTCTTTGTCAGACAATTTCTTCCATTTTTTAGAAGCCCGCTTGGAAAATTCTGAAAAAGACAGAGACTCACCAGAATTTTTCTTCTGCTGTTCTCTTGTGGCCTGCATGAAGAATGCATTAGCCGACGTCTTGCCTTTCGGTTTTCTTGAATATTCTGATGAGAAATTCTGATGAAAAGTTTGCTTCATTTTTGACAAATTGTGTTTTTTGTTCTAAAATTTCATTTAATGTCCAGCATCCGTTGATTGTTACAATTGAAATAATCTTCTAATCTGGCAATGGTTTAAAAAAACACCTCAAACTGTCACACGTACAAATTATAGAAACGCGTTTTCTAAAAGTGCAACAACCACCACAAAACGGGATTTTTTTGTTCGAATTTTAAAGGTGAACTGAATGTTTTGTCTGTTGTTTATTTCACAATGATTATAACAAAATAGTAACAAAAATATCACTAATAATATTGAAAATAATTTTGTAAATTTTAAATTTATTCAATAATTTAATTGAGTGAGTGATCATAGAAAGTGAGCTGTCATTAAATTGATAAAATTATAAAGCTAAGCGCACAAGTTGAAGTGTTTGCTTGGCTCTTAATCTAGAGTTTAAAAAAATATTTTAATGAAATTTTCAATGATCGGCGAAAGTTAATTTCACTTTGTTAAATAGTTGAGATCATAATACGTTATTATGCTAGGAATAAAAATAAAAAACTTCGTTGTGAGTGTGTGTGTGTGTGTGTGTGTTAGAATGAATGAATAGAACAATATAGATATATAGATAAACAAAAAAGGAAACAAATTTGTAAATGAACAACTGTTTTAAGTTATTTTTTGCACTAGAAACTACATATTCAATTATTCATTATGGTCCATTTTACACATGCCAGTGTTTTTTTTATTGAATAGAATGTTTTCCATCGTACTACCAACTTGCTTCTGTCATAACATATACCCATTCACAGAAAAATATTTTATTGTTAAAAATTTTCAGTCATGAAACACGCAAACAAACTGAATTAAGCTCTCACATTATTTTTACATTACCGGTTCCTGTTTTACTAATTTTTTTCAACAAGTTTGTTTTAATTATTGTTTATAATTTAATTTTTTCAGCAAATATCATGTTGATCTTTCTTGATAATTTTTAAGGCAGGTTGCCTCAACGATTAAATGAGAACTTCAAGCAAAATTACGTGTGACAGGTGGTCCATCTTCCAAAACTGCTGGGTATATAAATACGTTTTTTATGAATTTCTATTTTTTAATTTATCTTCTCTCCTCAAAACTTGAATCAACTGCCATGTATATGCAAGTTTGATTTTCGCATCAAAATAAAAACAAATTATTTGTTGAATGCAAACAAACTGTGGGAAACACACGCAGGTACAACACGTAGTATAAAGTTCTATGAATTTGAAAAAAAACTTCAAAAGGCCATGAAATGTTTCAACCATATCAGACACACACACAAATAATATACACTTACATGTATATGGATATTTTATGTTTGTGTTATTGTTTGTTTGTTTGTGTGTGTGTGTGTGTGTGTGTGTGTGTGTGTGTAAATCTGTCTGTATGTAACTATGATAGAAAAATAATATTATGGATCACTTTAGATAACAGTGCTCCAACCGATGTTAGAGTCACGTTATTATGATTGTTCCTACATAAAAAAAAACCCAGAAAATTACAAAACAACATACAAATAACCAAAAAATATCTTGCAATGCTGTCACAGCCTAGGCACAAATTTAAGTATTAATAAGCAATCAGAAGGCTAAAAAACATTGCACCAACATGCCTATAATGTTTGCCTAACATTCATTAATAAAAATGTTTCTCTTAAATTGCACTTTTTTATATATAAAATGATTGCCAGGCCAAAAGCATCTGTATCAGAAATACATGAATGTATATCACGGAGACACAAGAGTTCATTCAGTGTGCACATTCGAATACATTTTTTCATCCCATGGATAATTTTATGAAAGTGTAATGTTTGTAGAGGAATGAAACCGCTAGCAGAGTAATTTATGTATGCAATTGAAAAATAATTTTTAGAGATATTTATTTATTCAAATTCTTTATCATAAATAATACGTTGTAAAAATTAGTGCTTGGAAGAGCAATAAAAAGAAAAAAATAAAAATTTACTGAAAAAATTTGAAAATGAAATTCAAACATTTTGTCTGAATTACTAAAGCTTAATGAAAATTGAAGTTTAACTTTCCCAAGCATGGAAACAGAACTTTCAAACTTCGCTGAGAAGACAAGCATCAGAGGAATTCCGAAGTTTTTCAGAGCAAGTGATATTTTTCTGAAACTACTTTGGCTGTTTACGGTGTTGGCGTCAACAACATTCACGATATTTTTGCTGTACGAATCAATTGGTAAATTCATTTCAATGCCTGTCACGACTAGTTTTGGTGAAAAAGTAAAAAACATATTGCACAATCTTTGATAATTTCAGAAATTTCATTTTTTTATCACTTTAGGTTTTCAAATGAAAATTAATTAAATTTGAAATTTAAACCGTTTTTCAACAGAAGATATAAAACTTTTTCTTGTGAAATAATTTTAAATTTGTTTGCAGGTTGATCAAAAGATAACATTCCCAGACATCACGTTATGCAATTTAGACCCATTCGCTGAGGGTAAGCCTAAGGAGTTAACTTTTAAAGAATTTTTCAATTTGATTGATAGCGGAAAAAACATGGTGATTGAAGAAATTAGTTCAATAAATAAATTGAGAAAAGATAATTCATTCAAAACGTTTGACGCCGATGGTATAATTAATGAGTTCCAATCGTCTTCTGGCTACATGTTGAATTTGAGGAAAGACCGTCCCAAATCAGAAGACTGCCCCCATTTCATCGTTGAGTGCAGTTTCTTTGACTATGACTGGTTCAAAATGGATAATCCATGCTCATCTGAAAATTTCACGAGACGTTGGAATGCGAACTATTACACATGCTACACTTTGAAGACGAGCACATTACAGATAGACAACTCAACAGTTGTTAGAGGATTAACTCTGCTACTGAACATTGGTCCTCCGAATTATAATCAGCTTCCTTACAAATCCTCACTAACAAACTCACAAGCCAGGAGAGTAGTTGTTAGTGTGCACCTTCCAGGAACTGCACCTGATCTCAAACGTGGATTCACACTGGCTCCTGGTACCGAAAACATCGTAGAAATAATTTCAACTTTAAATCTTCGTCAGAATAAAGCTAATAACAAGTTTGTATACCTTAAAACTAACACTATGTTTAGTTTAAATATCATGTAAAATCATAATTTTAAGAATCAGTGCGCTGACAGTAAGACAATGCCTTTTTTGTCGTCATCAGAGCTTTATAACAGCAACGTATGCACAGAGTACTGCCAGCAACAGCTGATGCAAACCAATTGCGGTTGTATGACTCACCTGTTCAGTTTGCCTGATGAAAATATCGATGAAATTGAAATGTGTGGAAACTTGTCAGTGTCTCAAACCGAGACTGAGGAGACGTCTTTGGAACGGAGCATTAAACAATTTATTTGTTCGGCAGTAAATATTTCGCAAGAAAATGTTGAATACTGCAAGAAGGAATGTTTGTTACCTTGCAACGAGCTCACATTTGAAACTCTGCTTTCGACAGCAACTTGGCCTCAACCGTCCATTCAAATGGATCTTTTTAATAAGTTTTTCAACGTTTGCATGGATTCACACGCTAAAGTTAGAGCCAGGTACATCAATTATTTCAGCTACAATCTCCAAAATCAAGAACTCTTTGCCGAGTATGACAGTAGTAACAGATTCAATGGATTTTCATTTTCGAATTTAACACAAATTCAAGAATCTCTTCTCCAGATAAAATTTGTTATCAATCAAAATTATCTTTACTACCAATCAGAAAGTTTCACATACAACTGGCAATTAATGACTGGCTCCATTTGAGGTATTCTGTCCCTTTGGACGGGGATAACTGTCGTGAGTGCAGTGGAACTTGTCGAATTAATCTACCTCTTATTGAAACGTGGCTGGAAAAGTAGAAAGAAGAATTCCAAAACTGATGAAGTAACTAATAATAAGAGAAACGACGTTGAACATTTTTCAACCATGCATGTGTCCGTCAAAATGGACGGTTTGTGAAAATATATCAGGAGCAATGAAACATTTCGGACAGAAATAACAGCCAAGGGAAACAACAGGTATACAATATGGTCAACGAAATGATTGAAACATATGTATATTTTTATTTTAGAGCGTAGAAATGTTTGATAAAGTTACACTTTGTACATTACAAGACCAAAATTGTTTTTTTACACAAGTTTTTATACATTTTTTTTCATGTTAACATAACATAAATCATAAGTCTGTTTTATCGTGAACGTCCGTGTTTTAATATTTTTTTATAGAATGTCAGTTTTCATGATGATGTAATTAATTACTTAATTATATATTCAATTTTTTAAATTCCTCCTATAGTTCTATGCGATGGAAATGCTCTTACATATCTGAATTTGGAAAAAAATTAAGTTTTCGTTTTATGTTCAAATAATTACACACTTTTGGAGTTGAAATTAATGAAATTGTTTAAAATTACTCATAAATTTGACAACTTTTTCAAAATGTTGATAACATTCAAATAAATAATGGACATATGCAAATGCTAAAAACTGAAACGCAAAATTATTTTGCAAATAAGGCAAGCATAAGTTAAAATGTTATCTTTCATCTGCCTCCAAAAATTTCGTGATCGTTAATAACGGTTAATAAATTTTTTACAAAATCTTGGGGGTTCGACCTTTTTTACTCATAATTTTCGAATGATAAATATTCCAACCACTTAAATAATATTTTCGCAGTAATTAAAACCGTCAAAATACTGCTTTATAATCAATTATTTTACATACCTCTTAAATACTGGAGTAAGTATTTAAATACTTTTCAAGTGACCAAAGTTGGTAAATTGAAATTTCGGTAAATAACACCCTTTTTTCCTCCACAGCCATTTTTACTAAGACTTTGTGTTTCTAGTTTTCAAAACAATCAATTTATTAAAATGCAAGGTTAGTTAACTAGTGAACAATGTCTGACTAGCTGGAAATTGATCAAATGGAATAACGCAGGACTAAATAAAAAATGATGACTTCAAAGAAATTGAAACAGTGCAATAAACACAAAAACTGAAACAAGTCAACCAGTTTACGTACACGAGCATGAGCCGAGCAGTCAGCAGTACATTTTTTCAACAGTCTTTTGATTTGTATATAATATATAATTAAAATGGCTATTAAAAACTTAAAAATAACGAAAAAAAATTTAATTTTAACTAATTTTAAATAACCACTGATGATAATATCAGATAGAGGCTTATGACGAAGAAAATGTAACTTCAAGTAACAGCTTTAGTTAGCCTATCATGTTATACTTTCATCAATTTCACTTCTCAAGATGTTACATTATGTTCGTTTCATACATAAGTTACTTTGAAATTACCAACAGGTAGGAAGTATAAGAAAAAGTTTATTTAATTTCTGCAGTTCAGAAAAGTGAATTTAGAATATAAACTGTCGACTTAACCTAACGGTAACTACACAAAAATATTTACGTACAACGAACATAACATTGAAACTCAACTCATTAGCATACATGAAGTATTGTCAATCAGTTTCATGAATAGAGAATGAGTGATGAAAGAACAACGTGGCAATAAACGAGAGAGTAATTCTTCTTTGTATTGTATATAGCATAGATGCTATATGGTTACATATTTTTTAAATTGATGTGTTCACGCAAGTATATGTTTAGACATTGTTTGTATGTAAGCGTGTGTGTGTGTGTGTGTGTGTGTGTGTGTGTGTGGTGTGTGTGTTAGACAGCAAATTTTTATAAACATGTAAATAAATTAAAACGACAGTATACATCTTATTCGTGGAATCTGAATTTCTAGAGAATTCAATTTAGTTTGAAATCGATAAAATCGCTTGAATTTTTTAAAGCTTGCATAATTAAGCAACAATAAATTTTGTAAAAAGTTTTTAAAATGGTTTAGGTTTGCAATGGTTGTTAGAAGAAAATTTGTACTAGTTTTTTGCGGTTTTCTGATGATTGTAACTTCATATTGGTTTCTACACAGAAAGCGGAATAACACAGTTTGCCAACATTCAAACGCCCAACTGTTAGATTGCTTTTTCATGAGGCCCGGTTCACCATTGGAAGATCATTTCAGCAGGTGTCGATCGGAGTTATTGATGGGCTGGTTGAAATTTGTAATGTGTTTAAAATTCTCAGGTATATCATGGAAGGAGAAGTCGACTGTAAGAGATCAGTGAGGATAGGCAACGTGGAAGATGGGGGCTGGGACGTTTGTGTTGATGGTCTCTATCTGCCTCGACAGCCCTGCCTCGTCTATAATTTTGGGTTCATATTTTTGGATGTAAATCTGTTATAACTTTTAAATATTTGTTGAACAAATTTTTGTTATTTGCAGTTAAATTTTTTGATGAATCATCATGTTGCTAGTTTATTCCAATTTAGACCCCTAATTAATTTAATTTTTTTATCATTTTCCTATTTTTATCTCTTGAACGTTCAATTTAGACAGTGGTAGACTAAATTGAGTTTTCTGCGTAAGAAAGTACATTATTTCGTCAGTTTGTTCATTAATTGAAAATTTTCACAGGAAATTAAAAATTTCAAAATTTATTTCTCTCCTGATTGATGCAGCTCCGACGATGGAAGGATGTTTGTCAAAGGCATCGAAAAATCGTTCAACTGCTTGGTACGCTCTTTAGATACGAGGTGAGTTTTCACAATTATATTAAGGTTTTTAATATATATATATATATATATATATATATATATATATATATATTAAATATTCTATAAATTCTACCGAATGTTTGGCGTTAATATGTTTGTAGTTCGTTTTTTCGATTTTTCTCACTAAAGTTTTTTGGTGAACGTTTAGTTTATTAAAATTCAAAATAAACTTATTTTTCGAATTCATGCTGCAAATAAGACCATATTTCGATTCCGAATGAATTATCATCAGTGCTCCTTGCTGTATATATAGGAAAATATTGACTTTGTCAAGATGAACTTTGACGTTGTAAAATTAACTTTGGTGTTCTAAAATTGAACTTTAATGCGAATTAGGTGTCAGGTTTCTTTATTGGCTGGTCATCTTCTTTGGTCTCCTTTTCTTCATCGATAGCATCATATTCTTCTTTGTCACTAGTCACCAAAAAACTTTAGTGACAAAAATCGAACTACAAATATATTAACGCCAAACATTCGGTAGAATTTATATAATATTGTAAATACATATATATATATATATATATATATATATATATATATATATATATATATATATATATATATATATATTAACCAGTGCCCAATAAAACAACAATTCTATTGTTATACATGGTCTGCAATTATCTGCATGGACTGGATTTCATTTTTAATCATTAATTTCATTTCCAATTTTAAAACACAGATTGAAAGTGAAAAGGAGTAAGAAAAACAACATATATTTCTATCGCGAAGGTCTAGTAGTGTTTAACAACTCCATTTACAAGATGATCCAGTTCAGAACACTGAAATTGATCAGAGAAATTTTCAAGGAAGGAAATGTTTGTAGATGTTAAACAAAGATGTCGCAAAATAACAATTATCTTTGAAAGCTTTTTAAACTTACCAATGCAGGTTAACATCGATTACCTAAAAGTATTCATCGAAGGATCCGAATTGGAGTTCATGGAAAACTCGCTCAAGGATGATCCATTACGGAATGTTAAACAGATCTGTCTTGAGTTTCACAGAGGTAATCAGGTGATTGCAGATTATCTAAACGTATCAAATCTTCATTACCGTCTCTACCGTGCCGGCTTTCGAAAGTGGCTCACCCATTATAACGTAACCTGCCTAACAAGGAATGCAGATCTCCAGGACCAAGCTAGTTCTGCTAGTTCTGCTTGCCATCAACTTTATTATCTCAATTTGCGCTTCAGAAACTGATAAAAATACTGTGATTTTAGATTATATTTAATTTATATTCAAATGATCTGATGTTATTAACAATATTTAAAATGCTAGAAGATCATTTTTTATTTTAATTAATTCATTTATTCAATAATTCATTCATTCATACATTCAATCATTTATTCATTCATTTACTCATTAATTCATTAATTCATTCATTCATCCATTCATCTATCCATCCATCCATCCATCCATCTATCCATTCATTCATTCATATATTCATACCTTCATTCATTTTGATAATTTCTTGTGAAATGGTAATACAATGAGTAGGTTTATTAATTGCGTTACATGATGTGAGGATCAAATTTCATCGAAAACGAGTTTTTTTACACTTGCATCCGTGTCAATATTCCTTTAATAGTACATAGGTACGATATTTGAACGGCTCGATAATTATTCAGCTCAAATCGTTCTTCTTGCTACAAAAACATTAACATAATGTGGAGTGTGAAATTTAGTTGACTATTATTGCTAACCGGTGACAAAACTTTATCACAAAAAATTCATTTCTGATTTTTAAGACTTCTATTTATAATAACAAATATTTATATTTGTTAATATTCATTGCAGGAATTGTTGATTTTAGTAGTAAACTTTATAGCAACGATAATTCAAATTGACAGTTTATGAAATGCTTAATAGATTAGATGGCATATGGCGCATGGCGCAAGATTAGGTTATAGTTGATAAATGGTTTTCCATCGTAGTTTTTATTTTACTTTTTGAATACATTTTATTAAATAAAAATTTCATATAATTCATAGGAAATTTTTTCAAAGTTTAACAGCTAATTATATTGATGTGCATCTGGTGCGTTCATTTGAAATAACTGAAGCAGACAAAACACTATGCATTATATATAATTAGTATTATTAATATATAATTAATTAATTAGTATTAATAATATAACATTAACGAATAAACCTCGACACGTTCGCACCATGGGTATATATATATATATATATATATCCATGATAAAATGTAATACGAAATCGAATTTAAAACAGCAAACGAGACAAAAACTTTGCAAGCGATAATTTCAGATCAGACAATTAATTAAAGACGCTGAAGAAGACAACGACGATGCTTGATCCATAGAACAAAAAACAATTTTTGTAATAAATTAATTTTTATGCCATATCCATTATATTCGTGGTTCGCACTGACAGTTGAAATACCTATAGATGGTAACGATAGGAAGGGAGTTGCATTTTTTATTGCGGAAGATTTTCGTGAATAGGTACTCTCGTTCGTCTGTGAAATTTACAAAGCTTCCCAATTAAATTTTAACGCAATACAAGCCGTTAGCATTATTAATAAAGAATGACACTAAGAGAAACTGGATAGAATCGTTTTAAAAACTTGTGGTTAATGATTTTTTGACGCCATCAAACTTTATCAGGCATTGAATCTTTTATTAATCACGTACACACCGTACATCCAAACAGTTCACAGCATATTGTGTTGCAAAAAAATGAAAATTTTTGAAAATGCAAAAGTCGTTAAATGGTATCATAGTTCAAATATGTCAGTATATTCAGTCGTTCAATAAATTTGAATCACGTTCAATTGATTACTTGAAAACAATCAAGCGAATAATTTATTTACGAACAAATGAATAACCTAAAAACCAAAGCCAAATCGGGCTTAACTAAATTACATAAGCTAAATAACACAAAAATATCACTTGGCGGCTAATAGAATGAAGGCAATGTTTTCAAATAAACGATCACAATTCATGCCATCGTAATGTTTTCAATGGTGGTTTTACAACAATCAGGCGAATGATTTATTTACGAGCAAATGAATAGCCTAAAAACCAAAACCAAATTGGGCTTCAACTAAATAACACAAAATAACACTTGGCGGCTAATAAAATGAAGGCAATGTTTCCAACAAACGATCACAATTCTTTAAAGGCATTGTAATGTTTTTATTGGTGGTTTTACAACTTAACGTCAACGAAGTTTCAAACATTGGTTCAGATGTTTGACACCAAAGTTTTAAATGAGGTGCTTGTAAATAATCTCAACGGCTTATATATACCGCCCATATCCTATCTATTCGTTAAAAATTTCTCAATCGATATAGTTACTTGAAATAATTGAATCATTATAACCTTTCTTAACTTGGTCAAAAATGTCGCATCTGAAAGAAAAGTTGAACACAACATTGGAAGAATGCAAGGGCAATTTCAAAAGTGCTGTGAGCCGGAGATGTAGTTATGATGTCAAAAACAGAACAACAGCTTGTCCAAACGGAAACAACTCGAGATTCTGGAAAAAAAGTGAACAAATTTCAATACCAAAACTAATTTCCGAAAGAAAAAACAAGCCGCTGAATGAAACTGCTCAAATCACTTTTTTATTAAATGAAATGTTCACTAATATAGAACAACACAGCTTTCCAAGTTGCAGATATTCTCAAGACTTCACTGAGAGAACGAAACATACATCAAGTAAAGGTCATTCGAGCTTCTGGAAAAAATCTGAAAAATTTAAAATACAGGAAATCATAGAAGAAAAAAATAATACTTCACTGTGGCTCAAAAACTTGGATAAGTGCAAAGAAAACGTGAATCAATTAATTAATCACAGATACAATTACGACTTTACCCATAGAGAATTGCCTGATTTCAAACAATCTAACTCATGGAAAAAAAGTGAAAGATCGCCATTATCAAAAGCCATTTTGGAGCAAGAAAATAGTGAAAAAGACGAGACAACACAGAGTGACTCTTCATCGGATGAGCCCGTTAGCGAGATGGGTAACTACAACCTGAAAAGTGACAAAATCGTGTTGTTCGAAAGAGTCTCAAATGTTGCTTCTAAAGAACTTATGTACAAAAAAACGACCGTGATGTTTGAACAGACAGCAGAAGCTAGTCGCATGTCAAAGAAGAGACAGAAGAAGATTGTTGACAGTAGGCAGAGCTCTTTGATGCGTGCTTATGAATATCGTTGGTTCGTCAGGCCATCAGTTGTTTCGTCGCGAATCATCAGCGTCCATTCAACGAATGATTTGGACAGGATGGTCAACTTGGACACCTCACGTGAAGTTACAGTGAAAATGTTAATTAATGAGGACACGAGAGCTTCGAGCATGTCACGTGATGATTCTCTCGATGCATCAGAACTTGACAAAACGATCACATTTAATGAAAACAATAGATCAACAGGTCTGGATATGATGGACAATTTGGATACTTCATATGACGAGATATTCAACCAAACGGACGATCTGATGAATGAGGGCATGCTACAAAACGAATCTGGAGATTCGAACGATACATTAACTGACGAACCTAATTGTGGTCGAGAAAATCAGGATGTTACGTTGAGTTTGCTGGCCTCACACAATGAAAACCACATAGCAAACAATGTGGATCCGACAGAACATTCCATCAACTCGCGTCGTAAGACATTTAAAAGACCGACAGCTTCAAAGACATCAAACAGTGGACTGGGAGATCTGAAGATGAGTATGATGTTCAACAGGAACGCGGATTTGAACAAGTCAGGCGGTACAAGAAGAAACTCCATGTATTTAAGCAAACCACGCACGGTTCAAAGAATTCTGCCAAATTTGGTAGTTGAATCAGTTTGTGTAGAAAAAGACATGAAGCTGAAATCAAAAATGTCACAACATGATGGCATCAATAAAGGATCGAAATATCCAAAGATGTTGGAAGGTGAGATATCAGGAGAGGTTTTGGTTTGATGTCCAATTGGAGGGTACAACGTGACGAGATCATCTGCTCAGGAAATGCAACGTACTCCCATTGGGAGTCGATTTTAATTTTTTATTGGGAACATTCATTTTTTACTACAATACATTTTTTAATATCTTGCTGCTGCTGATATGTGCGTTAAAATAAGTTTAATGCAATTTAGATAAAAAAAATGTTATAATAACATTAATTAACAACATTGTTAATTGATTTACAAATAAAAACATTCAATTAACATAACGTGCAGAAAGCAACAACCAATATAATGTCAATCACATCTTGCATGGAATATATACATACGAGTACCATCGTCAAATATTCACATGCAAACACGCACAGGACAGTGTATAATAAACACTGTATGTATGAGTATGTATAACAAAGAACGCAAAACTTAATTTGAATGTCAAGTGTGTAAACCTCTAGAACATAAACAATACCAATCTTCTTGAATGGAAACATAAATAAGATTAAAACTAGGAAATTTATATAAATAAACCTAAGAAGGTAGTACATCTTAAAATTATGAAAGACGTATTTAAACAAAAAAAAGAGATAACCTTAGATGATATATTTAACCACCGTATAATTACAATAATATGAATATAATAATTACTATGATAAGTCAGCAGTATAATAATAAATAAGCTCCATCGTATGGGACATATTCTTCAGAAATAGGTATGCAGTTGGAAGGCAGCGGCTAGGAGTATGATGCCGAGGAAGTCACCGAGTGCGGTCAGGTAGGGGATGGAGCAGGTGTCGGGATCCAAACTGAGGTTCCACTGCCACAATACTAACCAATAGGCTGCGTACAAGAGTATTAACACCTATTGCCAAAAAGATTATAAATTATTGATAATTTATATAGAATGCGATAAACTCAATTCAAGAATGGACATTAAACAATCAAACATTATGCAGCTTATACCAAACAAAAAAGTCACTACAACACTCTATTCAAACCTAATTACTGCACAAATTGCCAACTATTTTGAGACATCTATAAAATATTTTAAATCGGTAAGCAAAAAGTGAAACCAAATTGAAAAACATTTTTATAAAATGCGTTGAACCTGTATAAGCGTGGCCGACAGGTAGAAGCACGTGAATTTCAAGTTGTGAGTCTCTTCTATGAGTTCCAGATCGTTTTGATGCACGGTCCAGATGCACAGGAGGAAGACCATGTGGCCGGGAACCACCATCAACATCAGGGCTCTCATCGATTTGGATCCCAAGTCTGTTCATTGGTTGATTGGAAGTTTGATTGGATGGATGTTTGATTGGCTGGATGAATGGTTGGTTGATTGCAAGGTTGTTTGATTGGATGAATAGATGGTTGGTTGATTGCAAGGTTGGTTGGCTGCATGGTTGGTTGGTTGGAAGGTTGGCTGGATAATTGGTTGAATGGTTGGTTGGATGATTGGTTGGATAATTGGAATGTTGGTTTGATGGTTGATAAGATGGTGTGTTAGTTGAGTGGTTGGCGGGGTGGTCTGTTGGTTGTTTAATTAATTTCCATTGCAGGATGTGTCTGAAACATAAATGAACAAACACCTTAAAATAAATTATAACTTTCAAAATAAAAATTTCATAAATTTTCACAAATGGATGGACCGGGCAACGACAAAATTTGTTTCGGATTATATGGGGGTGCATGGCGAGACAAGTTCCGAAACATAACTGGTCTGGTCTATAGTGCAAGATCTTTAAAAACGCATAAGCTTGGTAAGAGGAAACAGACTGAAAGTCCAAAATGAAAATGTAGATATATAATATATGTTAAAATACGGATACAAATAAGAAAATATTAGAAAAATTTACAAAATTAAGAAAAACAAAACTAATGAATGGAGAGATTCGACTAACTGTCGCAGCAGAACCCGCCCAGAAAATTAGTGCGATGTCCAGTCATGGTGTAGTGGACAATGAGGCCAGGCTGGCCCATCTTGTACAGGGAGGTTGATAGCTTGCTCGCCTGGATGGCTACCAGGTTGCCACCAATGCCTAGGTCATCATCATCGTCGTCGTCGTCTTCACAGTCTTCGTCATCAAAGTCGTCGTCGTTTCTATCATCATCGTCTTCATCATTTTCATTGTCATTGTTCACATAATAATCATTTCATTTTCGTCATCATCACCGAGAACCAACCGTTGAATACAAGTTGAAATACTGCCAACTCTTCGTACCTGACGATCGTTTCATCCAACACAATTCCACCGATGCTGAAACATTTCAATATTTTGGCTAGTTAATTTAAAATTACTGATCAATTTAAAAGGACTAGCAACGAGAAACATACATACATAGATATACAAACGCACATCTTTATGTACACACACACACACACACACACACACACACACACACACACACACACACACACACAAAACAATATTGCATGAATTCTACCGAATTGTTGGCACTGGCCGGATTAAAAGCTTGTCTATTTAGTTTTTTTCTTACTAGAAAATTTTGAAAATTGTCTAATTTATTAAAATTCAAAAAAGAATTTTTGTCCAAAGTTATTCTGCCAATAGTCCTATTTCGATTTTTCTCAAATCATGTTCAGTAAAGCTTTGGTTTATATAGCTTCATAAGCAAAGCCAAAGGTATTCAATTGGTGTAATTTTCTACCTTTTCGTTGTTGGTGTCACTTTCCCATTGTTGTTGGAGTTAGCATTAGGACGACGAAAACCATTCTTCAGTGACCCAACAAAAAGTGAAAAAACATGAAAACCGACCTACTTATGGTCATAGCTCCAATGATAGGAGTCCAACCAGAATACAGAACATGTTTGGTGTACTTGTTAGTTGCACTGATCCAAGTTAGGACTGGAAGCATGCAGATGAGGAGTATGATTATGACAAACACGAACGAAGGCAGCTGTACTGCATGTTGTTTGGTAGATGGGCTAATATAGAAAAAAGTTGTCTTATATGCGTCTGTGTGTGTGTGTGTGTGTGTGTGTGTGTGTGTGTGGTGTGTAGGTGTGTGAGTGCGGAACAGTAAAATAATAATTAATGGAACATATAAATTTTACTTTTATTCAAAAAAAAATGGAGCCAAAAATCATAAAACCTATTAATGAAAGATATGCGAAATATCAAACTAACCAATAGATGAATGGAAAAAATTGGATATAATGGCGAGAAGGATGGTAGTTGTGAGATCGCCGAGACTGCCGGCTATTGGAGTGGCTACATTATCGGGATTGATCTTCAGCTGGCGAGAAAACAACACCACCATGCACATCAGAAGTCCTTCAAAGAATGATGATACGTTTGCACTTATTTTGAGTTTATTTAGCTATGTCAACATTCATTCTGTATTCGTTTATATCTAAGGATACCTCCTTTAATTCAGTTATTTTAAATTGGGTGAGAAGAAAAATATTTAAACGGATTGCTAGAATGGTTAATTTTGTCGGGAGATAGAAATTAACGTTATTAACAGTAAAACTCAATTAATAATTTAAAACAGAAGTCGACATTGACCTCTTAGAGTTATATAAATTATATAAGAATATTAAAGTATATTTTTTAAAATTTGATGACTGGCACGTTGAACGTAGCTAGGCATAAAAAAGCACACAAAGATGATTAAATCTAAAAAAGTTAGATGAACATCCTGTAAACTTCCATAAAATAACATGTCTCATGGTTAGGATCACGACTGCAGTTGTTAAGACTGATAATGATCAGTAGATGGATGATGATGAAAAGAGTGAAATACTGAGCAGACAGATGTGTTACATTAATGAAGTCATTCAAATAAGAGTAGAGTTGAATTTCATGCATTGGGAAAGGCTGGTATAAGATTGTCTGCCATGCTATAATAAGATCTTTGAACTCAGCCTAATTGATCCAAACAGTGTAGAAAAGTGAGTTAGTAGTTCAAACTCCAAAAAGTATAAAACCTGCAACTAGCCTGTCAAACAGCTGCTGATGAAACATTTTAACATTATATTTCAAAAACAAAATGGTGAATTTGTTTCAGAAAAAATTAATCGAAATGCGAAAAGCAATACTCTTGTTGTTAGTTGTTCAGACAAGATTCATTAAATAAAAGCAGTTATTAAATATGGTGTAATAATTATAATTAATAAAAAAAATAATACAATAGTTTTCAGTAAATTTAAATTGTGAAAGTATGTAAAAGCTATTGAACCTAGAAAGAGGCTGGCCAGTGAAGCAGTGAGTGAGCTGCTGGCACACAGCATCAGAACCTTCCAGCCATTTACATCGTTGGCTTGCAACCAGCTGAAGAAGATTGCCAGCAAGGACGCCAGCAGACCCACCACCAGAGCTTGCAGTTGGGTGAGAGCCATGTTGCCTCCAAATATCTCAAGGCACTCTGATACTGTATCCAACTTTCCTAGATTGGACTGAACAAAAATTTGCATTGAAAGATATATAAAATTTAAGGTTTCATAAAGAATACTGCAAACCAAAAAATAAAATTTTATTAATAGACTTTCTTTAATAATGATTATTTGAACCACTTACATTATTATTGATGCAAGAATAATTACATTTTTTAAAAATGTGCTCAATGTAAGCACCTTGTGATGAGCTTTTAGTTAAAAAAAGAAAATGGATGAACATAATGAAGAAACAAAATGAATGAACAATTGAACATAATGAAATCAATGTAATGGATAAACAGACACAATGAAATGAACACAATGGATGAACCTAATGAAGAAACATAATGAATGAACATTATGAAATGAACATAACAAATGAACATAATGAAATGAATATGACAAATAAACATAATGAAATGAACATAATGAAATGAACATAATGAATGAACATAATGAATGAACATAATGAATTAACACAATCACAATGAATGAACCTGAGTGGACAGCCTGGCAGCCAGGGTCATCTCAAGATTGCCCTTCAAACCAAGCAGAGCAGGAACCAATATGACAACCTCAGGCACTTCAATAAATACTTTCCATTGCTGCATTCATGTTAAAAAGTATATAAAATCCAATTTTGCAAAAATTAAAATATAGCAGGTAGGTACAACATACAAAATATTAAACTACAAAAAACAATGCTACAATTATAGTGATTTTATTGTAATGAATGTATTATATTTTCACATATTTATTAAATTAATTATATTTGCAATCATAATACCTTGAAATAGTCGAGGACGGACCCAGCAGCAACCATGCCGATGCCGGCAATGAAGTACGGAATCATAAGCTCGCGTATGATTTCCCATGTTGACTCATTCATTTCTTCATTCCTGATTGCAATAAATTTCTCACGAACAGCTGGTATCATGTCATGACAAGCACAACATATGGCATATAATTTATGGAAAATGATGAAATTGTTTTTTATTTGTTTTTAAATCTAGCTAAATCCTAGATAAGATAGTATCTAGCAAAGTAAATAAATCACAAAAAAAAACAATCACATGAAGTTAAAACTGAATTCTGAAGTGAAAAGTAAAATGTATGCACTATATAATAAAAGATAGAATTATAGATAGATAGACTAAACAGTAAACACTAAACTATAATTAACCAGTGTAATAAAATGTAAAATCATTAATTTAATAAGTGTAAAGCTGTAGATCTGTAACCTAAACTGTAAAACAATCAAATCAACATTCAACTGTATTAATTATTAGTATTACTATTGATTGAACAATGTAGTTGTAATAACACTAGCTAGTGATAATAATAATTTTATTTTTTATAAACTAACCTAACTGAAGTTAGAATTAAAATTTGTATACATACATAAGTTTGTTTCCACGCATATGATGTTGTTAACATAGATTTATCTATAACATTCATATATCTATAATATAGTTATACATATATCACATTATATCATATCATATATCATAAATTTACAGGACACTCGACGCCTTGTTTGTGTCATATCTGATTGTTTGCTGACATATATTTTGAAAAAGTGAACTCAGCTGATTGGAGGAAAGCCATAACTACATTGTTACATGCATCTTAAAATCGTTACAATAATCATTCAAACGCTTAGAACATTCCAAGTGTATGATTAAAATTATATGCACAGAATGTAATAAAATAATTAAGACATTTTTAGAATAAATAGATTTATAAGTATATGGACATCTGTTGCAATCAATCATACTTCTTGCTACAATCAATCATAACATGATCATAACATCATATACAACCGTTTTATTCTATATTATGTGCAGACGTCTTCATTTAATGATAATCTACAGTTGCATTTAAGAAAACTCTAGAATTTAATTTACAGGTATTTTAAAAATTTAAAAATGCATACAACCCTCATACATTACAATTCTACTGTCAAATATTTGGTGGACATTTGTTTCTAGTTATAAGTAACAAGGCTCTTAAAAACTAGTTTTTTGCTTTTATCTTTTTTGGTTATATATATTAAATTTTTTTCTGTTCTAATTTATCGTAAATTGATCATTTGATTGACGTTACCATATTTAAAAATAATTCGCATCATAGTATTGAACATTACCGGTTGACCGTATCGGTATCGGTAAGCGTTACAGCACTTTTATATTTTTGTGAAAAATGTCGCTCTATTTGGAGAAATTAAGGCATCTACGTTACGCCATCAAGCAACATGGAGTTTTCGGATCAGTTCTACAACTTTTCAGGTTCAAATCATTTGTTTTTATCTATTTATATTTATGAAATTATTAAAACATTGATTGTGTTTTTGACTCTCAAAATTTGTTTGCCCTTCATTTCACAACACTACACAAAAAGTTATTTTAAATTAAAATTTAATTAAAATATTAAATTAATAATTTTATTTAATTTTAGTTTTTAAAAATATTTTTATATTATTTTTATAACAGATATTTTATATTTTATTTTATAAATTAGAAATATTATTTTATTTAAAATTTGGAACCAAGTTCAAAAAAATTTAATAGCCCTACTATACAAAAATACAAATATATACATTTTTATATTGCTATAGTATAGAATAGATAGATTTATTTTCCACAGTAGAAAAGTAATTATTTTTCACACTGATATCTGACATTAAAATTTTAAACTAACGCAATTTTAAAGCAACACTATGATAACAAACAACATATATATTATAATATATTAAATATATAATATTAAATATATATATGACATGTGTATGTGTCTTGTTGTATATAATAACATTGAATGTCTACAATAATGTTAGTCTTCTGTTGTGAGTTCGTTCCTAAAAAAAATATAGGTGAAAACAGTAAACTAAGCCAAAGCTTTTAAAGATGTTCATGTTCAATTGTTATTTTGTATAATAATATTTGTGTTACTCATTAATCTTTATGCCGTATAGGAACAGTCTAACTAAAATCTTAGACAAAATGATGAGTTATAAATATTTTTTCCTCATTTTAAAATAAGTTAGTGATGACTATCAGAAATTTAGTCTTGAATTATAATGAGATAATATGAAAGAGTTTGTTTCTAAAAAATAATTCTTATGTATTTACATTTATGATTTATATTCATCACACAATTTCAATATTTGTTACAGGACAGATGAAATAAAATGGGGGACTCTAGTTGGACAGGACAAGTTTGGAAACAAATATTACCAAAACAAGTTATACTTTATGGGTTAGGTTATCAATTTTCACCATATGTAGGTTTAAACATCGTCCTACCTCGGAGAACCGGGTTTCTGGACGCAAAACGAAAATTGATTAATTGATTTATGTATGTTTTTTCAAAAGCATTCTGCAATGAAATGACTAAATATTCAGGCATTTTTTTCCATAATAATATATTATGTTATTTCATTGTGCAACAGATTCTATTATCATATATCTTGCCTCATTTGATTTTTGGAGTTCAACTGCTGATGACTTGTGATTGGAAATCACAAGTTTCAGATGCTAAACCTTAGATTGAAATATTAACTGTTGATCAATATTTTTTCAGGTCGCAGTAGATGGGTATATTACTCAGACAAGAATTTCGGTTGGGATTATGACGGTAGTCAAGTACCAGCTGAATGGTTAGGGAATAATGATATTTTACCATACATTACTTGATGTCATTGATCTCATTACAGGCACAGATGGTTGCACTATATAACCGATGAACCGCCGACCAAATCAGACCTTGTCAAATATGATTGGTTGGCAGAGCACCAAGAAAATGTTACAGGTCAGAAGAGCATGTATTACCCTTTTAGTACCACTACACCAAAAATCAAAGCATGGAAACCAGGTGCTAAATAAAGGCTTTTCTAAAACATGTGACATGGCAAGACATGGTTTCTCAATAAAAAAAAAATATGATTTTAAATAAACAAACATTAAAATGTAAATAAAATTTTGTTCTTACAGTTTCGATTAGAAATTAATAAAATGATGACAAATCAATGCACATAAAGTAAAAGAGTATAAAATTTGTAAATATTTATCAGCACATTCAGAAGAATTATCAACCGGAAAAACAGTTGGTTAATTTTGATCTGATTTTCTTTTGGGTGATGACTTCTTTGAAGATCTCTTGCCTGTTTTCTCCTTTAAACAAATAAGTTATGTGTTGAAAAATTACTTAAGAGCAATCATTATACAAAAGTTAAAAAAATTTAATTCAGATACTGAGGTCTATGCTGAAAAAAATTAGCAAAAGTTTGATAAATTTTTAAGTTAGTCAACACAGAACCAAAAAATGTTATCAATCTGAAAAGAACAAAATTTTTTGAATAAGAGTAACCTTTCCACGTTTTCGCTTTTCTGGCAGTGCGTCAGACCTTACTGACTGGAAGTCATAAATTATTCATATACTTGATTTAATGTATTGCACAGGTAAACAATAAAATGAGCCGTGTTATGCGCACACTGATCTTTATTGAGTGTGCTGATATTAAAAGCAGATAAAAATGATAGTACAGAACAGTAAAAAATTTTTCTTTTTTGAAAATAGATAGATAAAATTACAGAGCAAATAAAGAAATAACTGATTTTACCTCTGAGTAATTCGATCTCTTATCGGACTCATCGACATCGGGCGACTCGATAGGGGGCTACATTTTTGAATTAATACTTTATTTTATAATTTTAAATATAATTTAAATTTTGCATCCTAGTCGTAAACATGTCGCTATTCATGCAAAGAGAGTAAATAGGATACAATTATCCATTGTTCAACAGAACAAAACGAAGTTATGCATTTAGAAGCATCTTAATAGCGTTACATTTCAGATCGTCAGTTGGAACGAGGCCCAGTTTCCAAGCTATGAACCATATATATATATATATATATATATATATATATATATATATATATATATATATATATATGAATTTAGTGGAATCTAGCCTTGATCAGAAATGTTTTTGCAAGGACATTTAGGTTAAAAAGGTTAGCCCAATGAATGTTTGTAGTTTAAGATAATATAGAGTGGTAAGAAAAAGAAATGCTCATGAATATTTATACCATAGATGGAGACGTGATGCAGTTATATTATTGCATTTGTGTAACTGATGGTGATCTAAAGGCTGAAGATAATTAATTCTACCTGTTCTAAATAAAATCACGAATACACTCAATTTTTCTCAAACCAACCTCTGTTTCTACTTTTTCTGATATTCTGATCTGAAATGAGAAATATTTTTTCAGAAAAATTTACTTATCATTTGAATTAGTCAACATTAGAAAATTCAACAGATAAAAATTAACTGAAAAATTTTAAATGGAGACAATTTAAGAAGAATTAGCAATGCCTCGTACATGTGACGGTTTCTCTTTGAGTTTTACTTTCTGGGCTTGCTTTTCCTTTTTAGTAAACATTTTGGTGTTAATGGAATGAGAGACTATTATTAATTGTTATTTGTCAAGTTAACTGTATGTACATGGTTTCAAATTTATTTCACCATTTGTGAAATTTGATTGTAATTGTAAAGTCATATTAGGTTCAAACCCGGAAGTGTTTTAAAATAGTCATCACTGAAATGCAATTCATAAATAATACCATCAAACGAATATAGTAAGGAGCTAAAACAGCCCCCATTTAGTTTTGAGTAAATAAAAATTGGGTATGAACCTTCTCACAAACATCTGTAAATCTTTTTGGAGGTCTGATCTGCCTCTTGAACAAAGCCACCCAATCAATGTCCTGTTGAAATGACCTCATGTTGAATATTAACATTATCAGAATTGTAAGGAAAGTAAATTTTGTAAAATTATAAAGTTTTAAATGTAATTAATTCAATGACCAAATTTTTGATTAAAAATCAGAAACTTGACTAAAAAACTAAACGAACAAAAACAGCATCAGTGAAATGCTTTCATTTTAAAAAGCAAGATTACATTTCATAGAGTTACATTTCATTAAATTTCTTATTTAGAGTTGTGCTACATGTAGTTGAATCTGCAAAAAAAGTACAAGCTCTGCTCATATCTCAAATAATTAACATGGAGACGGCAGCATACCTTATAGAAATCATGCTTCATGATGTCGTGGCCTCCATTGTAACCAGCTCCCAATCTCTGTGACGGAACCAGGTCCAGCATCTACAATGACCACATTCAAATTTTTATTCACTACTCTAATGGTACATGTTTGTGAATTTTGTATTACTAAAGCCAAACAGATGTAAGAAACTAACCTTAATCAGCAAGTCCTCAGAACAAGAGCTCAATCTTTCTTCAGCCAGACGAAGGCATGGCTTTGTGAAAACACACTGAATAACAAAATTCCAATGTAATGTCAAGAAAATCATTTTCAAATATATGAATAATAGAAAAAACCTTCGCAGTCAACAGTGCGTGAATGATAATTCCTAGTGCCCAGAAATCAGTAGCCCTTGTTGTGAACTCGCGTGATTTGAAGTACTCGGGGGCCTTGTACAAATTTGTGCCTTTTACAAATGAAACATTCTCAATTAGAACGAAGTAAAATAAATCATTATGAAAAATTAATTACCTGATTTATCATAGAGAGGTGTGTTATATGTGGCATAGGGTATGCCTAGGTCAAAATCAACTAATTTGGCATACCCACAACAATCCAGAATGAAATTTTCTAGCTTTATATCTCTGATTTAAAAAAATGTGAACATTTTGAAATTAATTATGATTATAGATTCCAAGAGTTTTCCACTTAAAATTTTTCATTAATGCAAGCACATTTCATATTTTAATGTTCTTTTTAAATGTTTCTTCCATATTATGGTACACAGGTTATACAAAATAAGCCATAGTTAATTATAACTGATGATAAGCAGAGATGGATCAACAAATTTTTCCTGCTGGCAACACCAACCTGTGGGCAATATCTAAAGAATGGAGGTGATTTATAGCCAGCAAGGCACAGCCTGAATAAAAAGCAGTCTCCAACTCATTGAACATTACACATTTTATCAAATGCTCCTTCAAGGAACCACCAGGTATATACTCCATAATGAAAAAAACTTGATTCTTCAAAATAATAAAACAAAAGTTAATTTTTTATATAAAGTATTCTGATATTTAGCTAAAGATGCATAAATGAAAATACATTAATAGAAAAAAACACCAACATTATTCTGCATGCAGTCATACATTGAAACGATGAATGGATGTTTGTTCTCTGCCATTGTTGTGAAAACAGTTTTCATGCGACATATTCTTGAGATGTTGTCTCTTTTGCAAACTGTTTTCACTACATATTTGTTGCCAGTTAAGTTGCTAACCACCAGGGCAACCTCAAAAATGTTTCAGAAATGTTTCTGCTATCAAACTAATGATAATAAAATTTTTTATTTGTGTAACTGGTGAAATAAGTTATAATAATAACATAAGTTGTAACTGTTGTTTTCATTTTTGTAAAAATTACAATAAATACTTACTTCACTAAAGCACCCTCTACCAAGAATGTTAATCAGATTGAAGTTTGAGACATATGGCTTGCTTGAATCGTTAGGATCAGTTTCATCCTCATTGTTGAAATTTCTATTGTTGCAATTCTTGTTATTATTGAACTGTGAAAACCGATTTGAGTTCAAACTGTGAGGTGCATCTCCATAGCAGGAAATGAGATGATTATCCAAACAGTGGAGTTCCTTTGTAGGGCAGTTGGTAACAAAGTCTCCCTCCTGATCTACAGCATGGCACACATCAAAACTTTGACAACTTTTACAGGGAAAGAAGTCAACGTCACCCAAAATTGGTGGAGGTAAGATTGGAGGAAGTATTACAGGTGGTTTTTCTGGGATAGATTCTTCAGAATCTTCAGATGACTCTTCATACTTTGGAACCTCTTGCTTGGGTCTGAGCAGTTGCTCTTTTCTTTGCTTTCTATCTTCCAGAAGTTTTTCCAATTCATTACGTTTCATTTCAACTTGCACTCTCTTCTGCCTGGCAGCTTTTTCTTTTTGCTCCAATTGTTGAAATGCTTTCTGCTGCTTTATTTCTTCATTTCTTTGATTTGCTCTCATCTTTTGAATATCCCTTTCTATTGCTTTAATTTGCTCCTCATGCTTCTTCAAATTTATATTCAAAGATTTGATTTGGTTTAAGGCTGATTTGTGCAATTCCATTTCTGTATGAATTTTGCTTGTTATCATTTTGCTTTCTACAACAGCATCGTTTTTGGCTTGTTGAGATTTCAAAGCCATTTTTATTTTTAAATTCTTGGCCTCCTCTATCATTCGACTATTTAATTGTTGCAGAGAGTCATCTATGGCTTCCAAGTTGTCTTTCAATACAGAAAACTCTCTTTTTTGCTCTTCAAAAATCCTTGATTCATCATTTTTATCATCAGAGTATTTTTGGTCCTTTAAATCCTCTTCAGTTGCAAGCTTTTTAGAATGACTTTTGCGTGATTTGTGACTATGAAAAGCAAAATCTTTTGTGGGCTCGTCCATATCCATATCAATAACGTCTTCGTATCGATTAGACTTACGCACCGATTTTCTAAATGAATCATTTGCTAGTTTCACAGCTTTTTGGTTTTCCAAGTTTGGCTTATCACTAGCTCTCAAGTCTGTGTTATAAACTGATGGTAGTTTGGCAGTTTTGTCAAAAATAACATTTAACCCATCTTCTTTCTTATGCATCAGAGCGGTTTCAATAAGGCTGGTTAGGAAAATCGAGAACGAATATAACCGTATTGTATTTGTTAAGATTTTTTATCCAAATCTCCTAATTTTAAAAATACCAAAGAAAATATCGCAAATATTTCGTTAATTTAAAAAAAAACGATGAACTTTATATGGAAAAAAGAGGTGCTTTCTTTTGAAACGACTCCAGCAGAAAAGACGCAAAAATTTTAAAATTTCTGTTTACGGAACTTTCACCATATTTTGAAAATCATGGGGAAAAAAATTAATTTTAAAAATCTTTCAATCAAATTAAAAATAAACCTATAAACTCTTTCTTTTATTGCAAAGTAGCATAATGGTACATTTGTTTTTAATATGAAAAATATTCAAAAAATGTTTTAAATCAACGTTAATTATATTTATTTACAATAAATATTTGAAATACGTCAGTTTCATAAAATTTCATAACAACAAATTCTCTATTAAATATTCTTATATATAGGTAGGTCTTGCAAATATTTCATTTAAATTTGGATAATAAATAGTAAATACAGTTATTTTAAATTAAAATTCAATTATTCCTTTGAATTGTTCAATTTTCGCAATCTTTTCATTGCTCTTTATTTCAAATTTTAACTTAAAAAATCGCAAATTAAACTCAGTAATAAGCAAAGAGAAATGGATGACCTTGGTGTTATCGAAATTTTATATTATATTTTCTGAGCCCGGAGACTTGTTCATTCAAGCAAACGGTTTAGTCCGGAAGATACAAGATAACATTAGAAAATATCGAAATCGCCATGCCTTAACACTACGTAGCCTACTTGTGAACAAAAAAATTTTTTGTTAATATGTTATTCTAGTCAATAAATAATTTATGATTTAGGAAATCTAGAAACAAATCTGGCTTGAAAAACAGATGGAGAAACTGTCGAACCAACCACCTGCTCTGCAATTATTTCATCATCGCCTTCGGGAGGAAGGATTTCGAAATGTTGAATAAGTGAAGAAACGTAAAGTAGCAATTCTTGTCGGGCCAGTATTTCGCCGAGACACGAACGCTTACCTTGAAATTATTGTTATTATGTTTAAAGGTTTTATTTTTAAAAATAAAAAAGAGTAAATGTTGAATAATAACTAACTGACCGAGAGAAAAAGAAATCATTTGATCCCTGTTAACCACTTTTGTTTGATCTTCATTCAGGAATCTTTCAATTTTAAACTTTTCTGGTTCATTCCAAACATCTGGATCCATGTTTGCACTGTATAAATTAACAAAAACCACGGTGTTCGATGGTATAAAGTTTCCATCAATGACCGATTCTTTAATAGTTAAATGAGGAACTGCCAGGGGCACTAGAGTTCTTATTCGCATGAGTTCTAAAATAGTAGCTTCTGTAATTGGAAGTTGTAATTTATCGTTAAGAGATGGAAGTTTATTAGTGCCGACAACAATATCCAATTCATTTCTTATCTGTTCCTGTATTCCCAAATTATTAGCCATGAAATAAATGAACCAGAGCAAAGTCGTAGCGGTGGTCTCGGTACCCCCGAGGAAGAGGTCTGCTATCGTCTGTTTTAATTGCACTTCGTCAACCTCATTTGCACAACTCAATTCATCCAGTTTGTTCATTGTTTCCATCTTTTCTATATACGCTGAACAGAAACTTTCTAGTTCTTGACAATTTTTAGTTTTGTCAATTATTTTGCCCAGGTAACGATTCCATGACTCTGATATAAAACAGAAATTTAGAAAGTTTTTTCGGTAGTAAGGTAGAAAACGTAAGACGGGAAAAAAGCTAATCGTTGCGTGTTTTGTTGTTCCACGAATTATTTCGTGGGTAAGCCTAATTCCTTCAAGAAACTCTGGATCATCTTTTTTCCAAGGTTTTCCAAAAATGATGCTGCTTATAATGTTGGAAACTGAAGCAGTCAGTTCAAATGATGGATCAAAAGCCACTCCATTCTTTAATTTTATTCTTTCGATGAGGTTTTCAATTTCCGTTTTGATTCTAAATTCCATGATTCCTTGCCCGTATCCAAATTGTCGTAAAATGTCGAGACAGATCCGATGATGAGTTTTGAAATGATCGTTATAAGGATGAAGAGCTATCCCTAAAATGTTTTCAATGTAATAATTCGTGATGCTGAAGAATTTAAAACATTTACAAGGTAAAAAAATACTTTTTACTTCATCAGAGTTAACCTCACATGCAAAGGCAAAAAAAGAACAGATATGAGCGTGGTTTAAAAAAAATCTGCTTTAACAACCTTGCTTTCTTTAAAATTACGTTTGATATTTTAAAACATTAAACGATAAGTTAAAAAAATTAGTTCAGAAAAATTTGTAACCTTTTTGTTGAGGGTTGAATATTTGACCGAGATAGAAGGAATCTCTGCTCGAGAAACAAAGAGAATGCTTGACGAGAGCTTCATATATCACTTTTCTTCCATTTAATATTATTACGTACCTGAGTTGAATGTACACACATTTATTTTCAACTTATTTCTTATAAAAAAATGAAGCAATTTAACTAATTGCTTTTGATATTGGTATTAAATAAATAAATGACAAAAATATAAATACAAGATAATGAATTGCGAATTACTAAAATGGACTTTACAGAAAAACTCGCTAAATTTGCAGAAATCCCTATATTTTAACATAAACGATATACGATGAAAATAATGTTAAATATTTCCAGTTAACCTGTTGCACATATAAAACGCAATAACATTTCCGATCTCTTTGGATTTCTCCATGAAGTAAATGTGTAACTTTTTGATGTTGGGGATGAAGAAGAGGGATCCAACGATTGGCAGGCGAGGCAAGCATGGAGGCAGTTGCAACTTGGAATCATTTACTGGCTGCTTTCGGTTGTTAAACCACTTCAGTAAGTAGAAACATATCACAAATGTTAACACGGAAACTGAAATCATCGATAGAAGCATGCTTATAGTTCTAAATTTTCTTCCTTGTTGTATTATTTATTTAGTCGGATGTTTTATTTTAACCAAATCTTCAATCCTCAACAAACTGCAAATTCTAATGAGAATATTAAAGATGTAATGCATGGTGATTGTAAGCATGTAATGTGTTTTTTATATGTATGCCTTAGCATGTGTTTATATGGCGTATATGTATCTTAATTGAAGAGAGTAGGATGTTCTAATAAAACGATATAAACAAACAGTGGCGGATCTAGATAACTTTAAAGGGGAGGGCCAAGAATTTGAAAATGTTTAAATTTTCACGGGTGGAGGAAAAATTTTCTCAGGGGCGGGGTGCAAAATTGATGCTAAGATTTATGGTAGTCTGGCTGATGACCTTTTTTATGCTTATCGCGTTGAATTTTGGGTCGGTTTTACACATAAAACGGTCTTTTTTCCGACTTTTATTAAAAAACTGTCCCCATTAAACAATAGTTCAAGAACATTTTACTAAAAGAAACTTAATTGTTTAGAAAAATAGAATGACAGTAAAAAGAGTTCGTGAATATCAGAAGATTTCAGTAACATTTTTTATCATTTTTTAAAAATCATTTAATCATGAAATGAATTAATTGCAAGTGGTGAATGGTGTAGTGAAGATAGTGAAGAATAGTTAAAAAAATGAAAAATCTAATTACACGTCTAAAACATACAAAACGGTTCAGCCCGACAAACTTTGTAAAAAATGAAGTGAATGCAGTTGTGTGAAGTAAGGTTCGTAACTATTTTCTCTTCATATAAATTCAGGCACCAAAATAGTATTTATTTTTATAATTTTACAAACGTTGGACGATATTATTAATACCGAAAAATCTTTCAACGCGTTTACTTTACAATTAGTGAATGCTTCTCAAAAACGTATATTTAATTGTTTGCTTGTTTGTTGAAGTTAGTTTTATTTATTCAATGATAACATCTGGTAAATTTCGAATTTTCAAAAACATCCATTAAGACCAGTAAAATGAATCTGTTTTATTCATTGAAAATTTATGGTGAACGTTTTCATTAACGATAATAACATTTGTTAACAGTAAATAATTAAATTATAAACTCTGACTAAACTTCACTCACAATATCACAATATAATATATTACTACAGCTGTACAATAACACAATAAACATCCAACGAGAAGATTTCTGAGTGTCGTTGGTTGAATATTTTATTTATCTTCAAAATACGTACTATACTTATATATATTTATATAAGTAAAGTACATAAGAAGCCATAATGTTTTTGAAGAGACGTCTATTTATAACCATGGGAGGAGTTTCAGTAAAAAACTACATCCCAATAAAAATAATGCAATTACTTTTATTTCATCAAATTAGGCTAAACGTTATTGAAAGATTTACATACTATTTATATATTTAAAAAATTGTTGATCAATTAAGACTTGGAATTATGAGTCGGTTTTAAAATTAGTTTCATAAATAATTTTCAGTCAAAGTTATTTTTATTAAATAATTAACTTATGCCTGGCTCGAATTCTTGTCACGGTTGCACGAAATGTCTTGGTCTCTGAGATTTTTGATCAACAATGAAAGCGCCAGAAGTAAAGTGGCCAAAATACACACCTCTAAGTATGTGATTGAATATACATACGTGATAATACATATATGATAACGGCATAAACTTGGGCCGCAAAATGTATCCGTCATTGATGATCCTTTTTCGGTAGATGATTTTGAATTTTCAAAAAACATTCGTTAAAAGCGGCTAGCTATTGATGGCACATTTAAATAGATAAACATAGCTTAACGCAATAACTACATGTACTGAACACACATGAAGTCACATGAAAACTGGATTTACTTAGTGCTGTCCGTCTTTGTTTCGTTAATAAATATATTTGTGTCCAAATTATTTATAACTAAAGTCGCAACTGAAAAACTGGTCAGTTTTTAATTATTCTGGCTGTCGTCATCCAGTCTGATCTGCTCGCGCAACAACTTAAATTTATTTATTTGTATTTCTTCATGAAGTCGTGAAATGTAGAAAGATTATAAAATTGGAAAACAAAAATGTATAAAATCGAAATGCATGAAAAATTATTTGAGGTGCCCGGTCATTTATAAATAAATGGTAAAATCACATAAATGTAAATTTATACAACCATACATATATACATTCTAACAATCACAAAAACTTTTAACGCTAAAACAACTTTTATATCATTTTTTAACATCTCAAAAAATTCCACCAAACTCAAGCAAACACATACCCACCAGACGCACACGTTCGAGTTCATGCAAGTACATATGTTCATACAACCACCGACAAACACCTTTAAAACGAACAATTCAAACATTTGTTAACACTCGATATTTCTTGCTTCAGATGAGCGATCTCTTTGTTTAAGGATGTCTCCTTCGATTCTTCCTCGGCGATTCGTTCCTTTATCTGTCAATAATTTCTCTTCAATTCTACTAAATGCTTTCAAATATTCTTTTTTGTTTTATGATAATAAGAGGAAAAGAGTCAATTTAAGTTTAACGTCGTTTTCGTGTCATATGAAATAATGTGTGTTTTAATTGTTATCACTATTATAACTATTACATTATAAATATATGTTAGTATCATTCATTGAAACAAAATGTATTTGTATCAACTCAATATTCACCGTTTCGACATTCTTCAGAAACAATGTATTTCTCTCTTTGTCATCATTCAGCAGCTGTTCAGTGACTGCCTTCAGACGTTCCATGTTACTTTGCATGCATTTCTACGTATGTTGTGCTATTTATTTCACTATTTTTATCAAATCTTCAAGTTAGTTTCTTATTTTGATAAATTGTATGCAGGTTACATTTTTCTTTAATTAAGTCACTTTGGAATCACTAAATTTTAACGGGAAACAAAAACTCTTAAATACTTATTTGGCAGTCATGTTGAAATTGATAAGCTATCGTCAGATAAACTTTTATATGTTACATTGCTTCATTCATATTTTTTATAACCATTAATTGATCTCTAACATTTAGGCAGAATATTTTAAAGTGTTTCAATCAGAGTTTTATGAGAAACAAAAAAGTTATCGTGTAGAAATTGCTTCAAAGTATTCGCTTAAGATTTAAAATTTTGATGTACTTGTACGTACATGTACGTACACAGACAAATTAATGCCGATACACTTGCTTACCTTCATATCGTCATCGAGTTTCGATAATTTCGTTTTAATCAGACTAATTTCGGAACAACCGAGACAATTGTTGTTAAAATTCTCCCAATGCGAGTCATCATGAAAACCATTTTCATTGAAAGCAGTCGCAGTAGCAAAAGCCTTGTTCTCCACTTTTCTCGTGCATCCAGTCTGTTTATTTTTCGTCCTCAGGTAGTCGTAATCACCGATTTTTCGAATCACTTCCTATTCATTTAATTTTATTAATAAGGCAAGTTTAATAAATAATTTTACTTTAATAATGACATGCGTAAAAAATGTTCCAACATTATTTACTAAACACGGCAATTCAGTTGGATTTTGAGCAGCTGTTGCATTAGCATCGTGATGATTTCGTTGGTTGTCAGATGATGACGCTGGCAGATCAGAGGCCCAGGTTACAATATTTTGCGACTTTTCTTTCAAAATCATTTGGTTGAAATCGCCGAAATTGTTGTTGTAGTTCTTATTGCAACATTCAACAGCGAAGAGTGTTTTCAGCTGAACATCTGAACTATTGACCAGTGAGTTATCTGGCTCCTTCTCATTTTGAAACTTTGATGATTTAACGAACTCAACGAAATATGAAAAAATGAAAAATTTAAAAAAAAAAAATCTATTACAGTCTTTCGAAATTCAGAGGTATCAATATATCTAAATACATATCAAACGACGCATCACACACGAAGAATGTGATGGAGGGGATCTTTTTGTCAGATTCGAACTAGGTCACGGTCACTTAGCAACGAGACAAGGTGACCTTGACCACTAGGCCACTAAACAACTTCTTTCAATGTAATGTTTTGTTTCGATATTGTCATGAACATTTCCAAACAACTTACCCTCACTTTCCTCATTCTCTCTTGAGAAGTCATATCTCCATTATGATAACAAAAAATATAAAATTGCAGAGGTTGGAAATTTTTCAATGAAAATTGTAAACAAAAATTTCAATGTGACGTTACACCGTAACAAAAAAAAATGATATTGAATTTATTCTACACGTTCATTACATGCTTAATAACGGATAGAACTGCAAATTTAAAAATCTTTCAATTACTATTTCCTCCACGTCTCAATTTTATATTGAATGCTAGCTAGCATCACACAAATAATCACTAATAAAAATTTGTACGTTAAATTAGGAAAACTCTGCCAAATGTTTTTAGCATGGATATGGATAATATACATCCATGGTTTTTAGTGGCCAGGCATTAAAGCAAACAACACGATTAGTCATCAAGCGGGTGCAGTAATAAAGATTATTAGTTAAAAATTTATTTTCGTTATTAACCGTTTTGATTGTTTAGAGTCCAGTGAATATTTGTAATATATTTATAATTTATTATATTATTGGTAAACAATTACCCGCCATATGCCTGACGTACGTTTCGTCTCTCACGAGACTCGACTGTATATGTCCAAAAAGCTGATTTATTATACGTATATATCATTCATTTATAGTGTGTTTATATTTATTATAATTATTATTACACTATCAAATTAAAAAGAGCAACAAAATTTCTAAATTATTTTAAAATCCAGAATAAAAACACCCAAGTTTTTTAGTAAAAAAAATGTATATAATATCAAAAGTCAGATCGAGACGAACCATCGCAGAGTAAATATTGAAGGGAAGATCCACGCGTTTTTACGTTAAAAAATGAAATTGTTTCAGAGTTTTCGCTTGCCCACTCACTATTTATATTATATATAATAATAATAATAACAATAATAACAATAATAATAATAATATTAATAATAATAATAATAATAATGATTATGATAATAATAATGTTTTCCTCCAGCGCCATATGCATAACGTCACACTCACACGCACACACATACATACATACATGGACACACACACATACACACACATACATACATACATACATACATGGACACACACACACAAACACACACATTAAAACACATACACACACACAAACAAACACACACACACACACACAAACATACATACATACATACACGCACACACATTTATACACTTGTATAGTATATAGTATCTGTATATATCTAGCCAAAAAATTATAGCTTGCTACCACGTAGTCCCTAAGTAGATTCACCTTTTTAAACTTATGATCGGAAGTTTTCAATTCCTTATTCATCATACAATAGCGATAGAAGTATTTTTTATTTATAATAATTAATTAAATTTATTATAAATAAGTTTGGTTGGTAGCATCGTTAATGAGGTGTCCACGGTTCATTACGCTGCTGATTGCCAGTTTTTTGGCCGCGTGTGCTCAGCGAAGTTTCGGAATCGGTAATGTCCAGAGAAGTTCATTTTTGTCTATAAATCGTTTCACTTTAAAACTTTTTTTTTCGTTTTCATTTTCGGCTCTAACAAATATACTCTGATGTATGATGTTTTGCACTTTATAATATCTAAAGTAACAAGAAATAGATAGGTGTGTAAGTGTGGTTTCAATTTTTAACATTAAACCGTTGCAGATCAGTTATCTAAGTGGATTTTTGTTTTGTTAAACTAAATGTTTAAAAATTTATGAATGAAATTAACTTTTTTAGACGTGGTTGTTGATCTGATGGTCATCACTGACTTCTCTATCTATACGAGGTTAGGTAAGTGTTTTTTGTTTGAGAGTATAACTATATTAATAATTTATTCTCAAATTAATATATTTCCATATTACATTTATAATTGCAGTATATTTTATCATTTTAATTTTCTGTTGATAATGTCTCTTGCATCGGTTTTCGTTTTTCCTGGTTGAGATCACATTCATTGTGTGTTTTTAACTTTGCTCCGTCTACGAGGTTGTCTTAGCAAAATGTGGCGTCCAAATTTAGCTCAGGTAATGCAAATACTGTATCGCTATGAAGTTGAATATTTTTAATAGCTATATTTTATTCAAAACTCACTTTGACAACTTTTTAACGCCGTATTTATTATAAAAATAAATTAATTTATTAAGAAATTAGTTAATTACGACACAAAATTAGAAAAAATAGAAAATTGAAATATAAGTTAAATAACAGCACAGTTTTGATTGAATTTTATAATACTAATAAAACTAATTAAATAAACTTTATGATTCAACAACTAACTTTCCGAATAGGTGGATGAGATTTCATGGCAACGACGAACGGAAGGCAGTTGACAGCATCGAGCATTTCTACACTCACGTTGTTGACGGGGTAAGTCCCTTTTGTCTATTTCTAATTGTAAAGTTATAAAAATTAGTTACAAAAAGTTTAAAGTTACTAAAGTTAAGGGGAGGAGAGCAAAATTTGGTGGAAGGTCAAAAATTTGAAATTTTTTTGCGATGACATAACTTAATTGACGATTTAAAATTTTTATTGATTCTTGATTTATTTCTTATTATTTTTTTGGATTAACATTCAAATGCAGATTGCACGACGTTACAGAAACGCAAACATCCCCGGCTTCAATATCAAGGTCGTACTGGCTGGAATCTATATCTCCAAGGTCGGCTTTCAATACAAAAATCAACTAAAATAATTCTCATCAACATCAACATCAATTACCTAAATTTTAACTCATTTGTTTCAACCGTTAAATTTAATCATTCTTAAATACGATTTGTTTTGACTTGGTCACATTTTCATATGAAAGTAATAAATATTATTATCATGATTATTAATATTCTTCTTCTTTTTCTTCTTCTTTTTTTCTTATTAATATTATTGTTCTCATCGCCACCACCGTCAAATTAGAACCAGACAGACTTGCAATTCCTCGAGTCACCTGACATCAGGATGAGCGATAAGACGATTGACGGCATCAAAGCCTACACGAAACTCTGCGAATGGATGTGGAATGACGATAATTTGGTGAAGAGAAAGTTTCCCAAATTTGATGTAGCTGCTGTTTTTACGCTGTAGGTCTAAAATGCTTTATTTTTATTGCAAATTTTTTTGCTATTTCGACTATTGTTTTATGCAGACGCATCAAGACAGCGTCAGAAACGTCTGTTGAACGCGCGGTTCAACGTCTCAAAACCTAGCCTCTTATGAGAGATTAATTTAAATTCGAATCCGACTATCGCAAAACTGGGCCAAAAAATTAAAATTTAAGCCATCTGGCCACTGCATTTTTTAATAAGGCAATGTGCATAAAATATCATAGTAACGTCAAATAGCAGACTAATTAATTCAAGGCAAATAAGTGTGAGTTGATTTGATTTAAAAATTATTATTAATATTATTACTCAGTTTTTTGAGATTAAGAACTTAAAATTTAAAACAATTTTGTCTAAGAACCAATTAAAAACTATTAAATTTGTTTACTAGGAGTTTTACAGTAACAATAGCATATAGCATCTTACGTAGTTATTATTTATTTTGAATTAACCATTATAACATTCTCCAAATATTGAGAAGTTAAAATTTTATTATTAAAATTATTTAATTCAATTCTTTTGAAGAAACTCTATGCACAATGTTGACGGCATAGGCGCCATGTTCGCCCTATGCAGAAGGGATGCGGTGTACATCACCAGGGAGGAGGGCATGTATCGGGCTGTAGATATTGGAACGCACGAATTGGGTCATATGTGAGTCTTCCTACCGTTTGAAAGCCCTTTTTTTTATAAACTTTCACACGAAACACTGTTGAAGAGATAGATTTATTTGTTTAACCGAAATTTGTTTGAATTTCAAAACAATGAATTTGTTGGATTCATGGTTAGTTAGCTTAGGCTGAATAATTAATTTGGAAAAGTATTTTATTGGTTGGGTACCTGGTTCTTCTGTTGTAGTAATCTGGTTCAAACTTATCGACAACTAACTTGATTAAGTTTAAATTTTCACGAATGTAAACTTTTTTCATCCCGATTTTGAATATTTCAGATTAGGTGCAAACAATGATGGACAGGGCAACAACTGCAGTCCTAAAGATCATTACATCATGGCGCCCATCAGAAATTCTGTCACGGAAGAAAATGCCAAAACTTTCTATTCTTTTTCTCCATGTTCCGTTAGCGAAATTACACGATTCCTTACCCAGCAATACAGGTTGTATCATATATGTAGAATATAATATTATAAAATGTTATATTCTATATATATGGGTAGTATGTATTTTTTATGCCTGATTTCATATGATTAAATCAGTTTTGTATGACGATTTTATAATTTATGTCATCTCAATATACTTGTCACGAAAGTACAAATTTAAAGAGCTTTTTTGTGAAATTTTTTATTATCAGACAAAAAATTAACTTAAAATTTTTTCCAAACAACAGCACTCCTGGCAACTGTCTCGCAATGTCACCAAGGACAAAATCTCAAGATGATTTGAAAAGACATTTGACTACAAAAATAGGTAAAACAAAATTGTAATTTTTTTTATAAAACTCCGATTTGAATGAATGTTCTAAATCATTTTTTACATGAAGGCCAAAGATACTCGATCGATGAACAGTGTCAGATTATTTTTGGGAAAGATGCGTCAACATGTGGGGTAGGTTCAAATTGAAATATAAACATTAAACGAATTTTTATTCTAGTTGAATTTTTATGTATTTATAAATTTATGTATTTATATTTAATTAAAAGATTTTAATTTTTTGGATTTTTAATATATTCACAAATAAAAATTTGCAAGCTTTGAAAAATGTCTTTTCCAAAAAACCCTGAAAAAATCCAGGGAGGAGGCGAGTTGAAAAGTCGTAGAGTATGTGAGATGATGTTTTGTTGGGTACCGCGAGAGAACACGTGCGTCCATCTGAGTCAGTTTCAGAAAGCAGCTGACGGAACATCGTGCTCAAGTGGCATGTGGTGTTTCGATGGTCTCTGCAGGCCAGATCCAATGGCCCCTAAATACGAAGGTGGGGGCGTTAAAGTAGCGTCTGCTCATTTATATTTTAGTTTCTAGTTTTTTTTTATCTGATATCATTAATATTCATTTTTTAGTATCAAATTCTGATTGCGATCATAATTTTTTTATTAAGTTATGCCTAGTTTACTCACGTTTTTATTAAATTCAACTATGTTTCTATAGGAGCAGTAAGGAACAAACTAGATTTTTTTAAATGTAATTGCTCGAATGACGAAATTTACCTGTGAATCTTCAAAAAATAATATAGAGACTTAAATAACGATAGATAACGACAACATTAAGGAAAGTTATGAAAACTGGTAGCAACAGCAATAGTAACAAAACTACTATTACTATTTGAACTAAGGCACCTGCAAATTCGGAGACTGGAAAGGCAGATGGCCTGACGGGAAGGTTACTCGGACGTGCGACGAAGTGATGCGCCAGGTTCCGTGGAGATGCTACGACGACAGAGTTGCTGATGGCTGCTGTCAGACTTGTGCCACAGTCAAGAAGAAAAATGAAAATGAAAGTTTGTTGATAGTGTTGCTGGGGATGGTGTTGTTGATGATGGTATAAAAATAAAAATCGCCGGCGTCATGGGCCGAGGAGCACTTCTTTGCAACACTTAATAACGTGGAGCAATTCAATGAAATGATGACGTAGGTCGGTTGGCGATACTGATCTGATGATTGCAAAAACTTCCATTTATTACTAAAAACACGTTTCAATTGATTTTCATCATTCTTTCCCTCTCTAATTGATTCAAGATTTGTTGATAATTCTAGTTAAGGTAATGGCTACAGCAATGAATTTTATTGGATAATATTTTCAACGATACAGATTATCCAATCTTAGTCAAACTAAGTTGAACTGATTTCAAAAAAATTTAACACTGTTCGATAAAACAGAATGCCCCTACAGCGACAAGTTATCTAAAAGCGAATGCTCAAAAAGCCTGTGTAAAGATCCAAAGAAGAACAGCTTATGTTGCAAAACCTGTCCCGGAGTTACTGCCACAACGGATTCTGAGAAGGACAAACCTCCAAAAAGTACGGATGCAAATGTGCCGAAGAAGGTTGATGATAAGGAGAAAGTGAATGTAAATAAGCAATCCGATTGTCCGAACGGTGATACGGGGACCTGGTGCAAGACAGTTTCCAAGTACGAATGCTACAATGGAGAGAAAATCTGTTGCGAAACATGTTCGAAATTGAGGGACAACTCAAGAGTTGGTCAGTATTGAGAAACAGTTTTATATTTTAGTTTTTAGATGAAATTCTTTTACCTTTGTCATAAAAATTTGCTTCAATGTTTGATTTTAAATGAGCTTTATCTGATTATTTGATCAATTTTCATTCCAAGGTTGTGAATATGGCGATAAAGCGCCTTGGTGTGCAGATTACGTGCGTTCCAATCCAGGCGAGTGCAAGAACCCTGACACGGAATGTTGCGGAAGTTGTTGGGAGCTCAAAAATAAAACTTAATTTTAACGAACATTTCCAGTTAAGTAATCATTTTAAAATTAATTGTTAATTGAATAAATAAAATTATTCACCCAATATGGCCCCATACTTGCGTTATGTTCCAGTTGTAAGACATTCTCATCTACTATAGTTCAGAATATTTAAATACAGAATAATTCATTATACAAAAAATTGTCAACTGTCAATTTGGGTAAAAATTTTTTTGAAAAATTGATGAAACAGAATGCCCCTACAGCGACAAGTTATCTAAAAGCGAATGCTCAAAAAGCCTGTGTAAAGATCCAAAGAAGAACAGCTTATGTTGCAAAACCTGTCCCGGAGTTACTGCCACAACGGATTCTGAGAAGGACAAACTGATAATGAATGAAATAAAAAATGGTAACAATAAGAACCATAGGTCTCTAAACAAATTTGTCCAAGAAGATGACAAATGATCAAAACTTACTTATTTACTTGAGGTAAAAAAAACTTAAAAATAAAAAAATAAAGTGAGCATTTTTGGTAGCATCAACTCCAGCGGTATATCTGTATATATCTGTATATATCTGTATATCATCTTTATATCTTATCTTTACCATATCAGTCATCACAAAGTTAAACGTCATTATCATCATTTCAGCTAAAAATCTGTCATCCCAGCATCTACCTTATTATTTTTTCCTACATTTTAGTCTTATTGACAACTATACGCAGCATAATAAATGTTTAATAAAAATATTATTTCTCAATTTGGGGTGTCGTATTTTCTAATTAAGATAGGGTGTATTGAAAACATTAAATTAAAATTAGTGTTAATGTTTTGTTGTTAAATAATAAAAATGATGTTAGTATTGTAGTATTGTTTCATAAACTTTTAATATTTGAAAATTGTTTTTTGACTCTAGCGATAAAAACATATAAAAATTTAGATAAGGACCGCAAAACAATATTAAACATTTTACCTTTTTTAATTGCGTTTAAAAGTTAAACTAGGTTATGAAAATATTGCGCAATGTTCTGGCCATTTAAATTTTAAATGGGTCTTAAGTTTAATTTGACTCAAACTTAGATTTTATTTAAAAAAAATTGTTTTATTTTCAGAGTGACAAATCTAAAATTTTAGTTTTAGACAAGTCAGTCCAATACAGATAGAGGTTTAATTTAATAATACTCTATTAAATTAAATTTTTAAAATTAAAATTTAAATCAGCTGATGCTGATCTGATGCTGATCTGGTCAAAATCAACTCAATTCCATTCCAGATCCCATAGAGATAGACCCATAAAATACTCTAGTACTAATTAATATTATAATACATACAGTGATGATGATTATTTCATGCTAAATAAAAATATAGATTTCATTTGATTAATTAAATTTAATGAGTCAATAAAATAAATTAAATTTAGTTGGGTTTTATTTTTACTTTAGTTAGGAGGCAGGCTTTAATTTTAATTAATCAGAGTAAGATTAGTAGACATTATTTATTAGAATTTCATTATTATGATTACAGACTAGGAACTGATAAGCAGATCTGATAGAGTGTAGTATTTTTAAGTTTTTTTAATTTTTCAACAGTTAAATTTTTGTATTTAAAATTTTAAATAATTAACGACTAGCAAAAATAAATATTAATAAAAATAATAATATTTATTATCATTACTGTAATTATTATTTGTATAATTATTAAAATAATTATACTTATCATTATTTGTTGAAACATCAAACTCTGAAATTACGTTATATCGAATGAGGAACCAAATGTTTAGCCATCACATTTTAAAACTGGATAGCTTTCTATCACCTAATGTAAAAAATTTATTGAAGATGACAAAGTTTACTACGCCAAATTCAAATGAAAGGATTGGGAGTGAATTTTCTACAAGAAATTTCAAATTTGGAGACTGTCTATATTTAAATGAAGATGGCTTCATTAAATGGGATGCTGTTAATAAAAATTTACTGAGTATGTTTTATGTTTTATTGTATTACATAATATTGTATTGTATTATTGCTTTGTATTGTATAGTATTGTATTTTGCAGTATTGTATGGCATTGTATTGTATGGTATTATCTTGTATTAAATGTATTGCACTGCAATTGTATAAATTTTATTGCCTGATATCGCTTTGGATTGTATTGAATTGTATGTTATTGTATTGAAATGTACAGTTGAGCGTTTCATTTTATAACAATGTATTGTATTATATGATGTTGTACTTCATAGCGTGGTGTTCTATTATAATGCATATCGAGTGGTGTCTCTATATATTTTTATTTTTGTTTCATAATTTTAATATAAAAATAATTTATGCCTTGTAAAAATAATTTATTCTTTTTCAAGGCACGCCACATGAAGAAACTTACGAATATTACTACAAAGCAATTGAGAACTTAAATCCACTTTTTGAAGAAATATCGATCAGATATGATCAGATATTGTCCGAAAGATCGTGGAAGAGTTATTATAACTTGTATAAGAATCATTTCTCTTGGATCAAAGATATTTGTGTGTGTATTTTATTATTAATTAACTAATTACCCATAACCACACCGCAACACTCGAAGTACATACCACACCACTCCACAGCACAAGACGATACATTAGATACATTATGTCTGTGCACGCGCAAGCACCGCGTCGTACATGAATGGCGACCGTCTGAATGTATTTTAGACTTGGACGAACAGTCGGTATTCGAACCAGGTTGTCGCGTAATAACAAGCGAGACATGGCACTTCTACCGACTGAGCTAACCTGCCGACGATGTATATTTATATGAATTAACACATATTATTAAGAGCTGTTTAATTTAACAATGAACGAACGAACACAAAAACAGGCCATTGAAAGATCATTCCAATTATTGTCATCACTCAAATGGAAAGATGGAAAAAATTGTAATGATGGTGAAAACATTGGTGACAGCAAAGACGATGATAGGAACATAAAAAATGATGCTGTTCATAAATGCCAAGGTGGTGATGATAGTCAAAAAAACGATGATGATGATTGCATACAAGAAACATACAATCTACATGCTGTTCTTATGTTAATGGCTGCCTTAGAAGCTGGCCTGAGAAAAGTATGTTGCGTTTGTATGTTTGAGTTTGTATGTATGTGTGGTTGTGTGTATGGTTGTATGTGTGTATGGTTGTATATATGTGTATATTTGTGTGTATGAGGATGTTTGTGTGTATGTTTGTATGTGTGTATGTGCGTACGTTTGCATATTTGTATTTTTTGCATTTTTCTTTGAATACGTTTTGTTTGTGTATTTGGGAAGAGGCATGGTGTCATTCGTTTAGTATTTGTATAAGTAATGCTGCTTCTCACTTCTGTTTGTTTGTCGTTTCATATTTGTTACTTATTCATCCTCCTCAGTTGATTCTCTCCATCCACCCATCTTGTCCATCCCTGCTGAGAGATATGTACCTGCTGCTGGAGCCACATCTTTCCAATCAAGTTTGTCATGGCTGGTCGTGTGCGGCAACTGTTTGGATGTTATCAACTTTTGCTATTTTTAACAACAACAACCAACAACAACAATAAAAACAACAACCAACAACAACCAACAACCCTGCAACAACAATAACAACAACAACCCAACAACAACAACAACAACAACTTACAACTACAACGACCAACAACAAAAACAACCAACAACAACGAACAACAACAACAACAACTACAACAACAATAATAACAATAACAATATTAATATTATTATTATTTCTTATTCATTCTTTGTCAGTTGATTAGATTTCAGAGGCACCAACCAACACACACGCGCGCATTGCAGACAAATTTATAAAAAAAAAATAGCTGATTTTTTTTTTTTTTTGGGAAAAATAACAAAAAATGTTTGCAGACGAAATTGCTGAAGATCGTCATGGGCTCGCCACTGTCGCTGAACCTCAGAAACATAACGTGGCACGGGTTCGTTGTCCCCTCTGAACTCAACACAGGGTCATTCATTATTTCGACCATTCTTATTTAAAGTCAATAGCCGCATGAATTTATTGGTAATATTCACAATCGCCACTACATATATTCACCCATTGTAGGCTTAGTTATTTGTTGCTCTGTATCATTAACGACATTGGGCACTGTTTGAGTTGTAACGCGTTACTACGTAATAAAGTTACACGCTCAAGTGAATGTGGAGAGAATGATGTTACTGTAAAGTTTCCGGAAGTAATCCTGGCGGAAAAGTACCTCTTGGAGATGGGTTCGTTGCTGTTGTTCGTTGCTGTTGTTCGTTGCTGTTGTTCGTTGCTGTTGGCTATGACGTACTGTATAGTGTACAGCACCACACTGTGACGTCATTTTGTTATTAGCGCAGTTCGATTGGTAGAATTGTTTTATCTGGGGTGCACATTGATTTTTTTATGTCGTGGTTGATGATTCAAAAATATTGTTCTTGGCGTTAAACTTTCACGGGGGTGTCAAAAATTTCACCGGTAGTGCGGCCTACCCTCCGCTCTCCCCCCCAGGTCCTCCACTGTTGACGCTATATTTGTGAAATTTCATGATGGTTGTTGAGTTTTGATAAATTTGTTTTTTGGTTTCTTAATACTTTTGTTATTAAATTATTACTTCTTATTATTAGTGTAATTTGTTATTGTAGGCTCTTTATACGCACCTATGCATATATGTTCACTTACAAACACAAACAACATACACACACATACATACATACATACACACACATACACACACACAACATACAAACACAACGCATACACACACATAAGCATACACACAAGATTAACAAACACATACACACACACCCAAACACACACACAACGTACGCATAGATCAACTTCAGAAGATTAGCTTCTCGGTGACGGAAATTTTACCAAGTCATGCCATTATGTGGCGACTCTCAGTAAAGTTACTTCAGGAAAAAAAGTTCGTGTATCACTATGTCTGTACGTACGTATGTATCTGTGTGTGTGTGTGCGTGTGTGTGTGTGTGTGTGTGTGCAGTGACGAATCTAGACAACTTTGAAGGGGGGGTGGGCAAGATTTAGAAAAGTATTTGACGACTGGACGGGAATTTTTCATAAAAATTGACCAACAACCGGATGAGGGATTTTAAAAAAAAAGTCGAGAAGGGGGCCAGTTATCTCCCCGGTCCTTCTAGATCCGCCACTGTGTGTATGTGTTTGTGTGTGTCCTAAAATGTGTGTTTAGTCATATTTGCAAATACATGTTTGTATGACTATCAATTCTTTGTACCTATTTTTGATAAGTGGGCTAAGTTGGTGTGTTTGTATAAAATGTGTTAGTCTTTGTGATAATTTTTTACTGTTGAATTTTTCTTCAACCATGCTGAAACGTTTGGCTGAGAATTTAAGATGGTATTCGTTTATAAATTTCGATAAATAAGCATCTCTCCGAACTGTTTATTTAAATAGATTTATTTGATTTGTAAGATAAATTTTATTTTCTTTTAAATTCCCTCTTTGGAACTTTTCAAACGCCAGACATCTTAATCATTACACAATAATACTCTTAAACCACAAGCAGTTATCATTGATTTATAAATCAATCCTTAACATTCAAAGGTACGGCGAGTCTGCAATGATAATATCCCCTCAGCTGGAACATATATGCCGGTACATATCACGACACAATATTATAAATACATCGTGTTATTATTATTTATAATTGTTATTTATTATAATTGTTATTATTATTTAACATAATTTGTGAATGTACAACACACACACACACACACACACACACACACACACACACACACACACACACACACACACACACACGCACACACACACACACGCACGGCGCATCCTGTGCTAATGCTAACCAACGCATCACACATAATATTGCCTGTGTGACGAGTGGAGGTCTCCATGCATTCAAACCCGGTTACTGCGTCAGTTGGACCAGGCTTCTTCATCATTACACCATCACGTATGGACATCAATGACGTCTTTCACTAATCCATTATGTGATATTTAAATGTAATTCCGTATTAATCAGTTTGTATAATTTCTTAAGAACAATTACAATAATGCTATTAGCAATTAGATTAGCAAGCATTACATACCCTGGTTTAATTTAATCTTCAGGTGCTTGTTTGCAGTTGTTAATGATACCCCACAAAGATTGATGACAGCCGAGGTTTGTAGGTTTCATTTATTCAGTAATTCTTTCGTCTCTGCATTCTTTGTTTCATTGTTTCATTCATTAATTCATTTCCATTCATTCGTTCGTTCGTTCGTTCGTTCATTGGTTGGTTGGTTAGTTCGTTCGTTTGTTGATTGATTGATTGAATCGTTACTTTTATTCACTATTTCTTTCAATCGTTCCATCATTGAGTTCCTTTGTTTCGTAATTTAATTTAATTTTTTTTATTCATCCTTCCTTTTGTTCCTTTTGTTCCTCTTTTATTCAGATATTCTCTTTGTTATTTATTCATTTTTTTAATTAATTAAAAATATTAAAATTGAAATATCGGTTAACTAATTCTTTAATTAATCGCTGAATGAATGAATGAATGAATGAATGAATGAATGAATGAATGAACGAATGAATGAATGATGAATGAATGATGAATAAATAAATGAATGATTGAATGATGAATAAAAAAATGATTGAATGAATGAATGGATTCATTTTTACCACATTATATCCCAGAACACAGCTCTCTACACAACTTTTGACGAGGTAAGCAGGCATGTATAGAAGTATTGTATAAAAATCTTTTAAATTTGTTAAACAAAATTTTTTATTCCAATAAATGAATTTAATGATTTTATTCACTCACGAATAATTTGCCATGAAGTAAATTTTAAAATATTCAACATTCACCAAAGTAATTTCCTCAATTTTCTCCATCTATAACCACAAAATTATAAACACCAACGAAAATTTAAACCCAATAACTCGCAATTCTCAACATGCCACATCACATAGTAGATCTTGGATCAGTACCTTCCAGACAAAAGCCAAAACAAGTTACCGATATTCCTGGGCACATCCCTAACAACCTGTTTGATTGACATGTTAGTGTATCAAGGGGGTCCACGAATTAGGGATAGATTAGGACATGGGGAAATAAAGTTGGAGGATGTTTCTGAAAACATTTCGATGTCTATTTTAACTCTGGCATGTTGTGTGGTTGAGGAAATGGCGAGGAAGATGACGACGACGATGATGGGGACTGAAATGAAGAAAAAAAACAACGTGAGAATGTTTTTAGTTATTTTTTATTGTTTGTGTGTTCGTTCGTAATTTTGTTTATTTGTTCATTTATTTGTATATTTTATTGTTTAGAAAATAAATATGCGTTCGCTTTTATGACGTAACCGATTTCTTTCATGCCTACTGATATTGTAACTATTAATTACCATAAATGTTATTATAGAATTTGATGTCATTTTAAATTGATAAGGTTCTTCACGCATCTTACAAGTCGCAGTACCATCCAATATCGCTAACGTTGAAAAAGGTTGGCTGGATGATTGATTGATTAGTTGGTTGATTGATTAGTTGGTTGGTTGATTGATTAGTTGGTTGATTGATTGGCTGATTGGTTGGATCTGATATAACTGCTTTTGAATTATAGTTGCGATCTTCAAAAATCAATCAATTAATTAATTGATTAATTAATTAATTAATATTTTTTCAGGCGTTAGAGCTTATTGAAGGCTTGTGTGGTTTAGGAGGACATCTTGAACGAAACAATCTCATTAGTTTTAACGAGTATTCACTATAGAATTTATTCATTTGTTTATTTATGTATTAAAATGGTCAACTAAATTACATTAAAGTTATGATAATAATAATAATATATAATAATAGTAACATAACAACATTAAAAATTATGATATTAATAATAAATAATAATAGTATAGCAATAATAATTACTTCATAATTTTTACTTTAAGTAAAAAATAATTAATAATTAATTAATTAATTTTAATAATTTTCAAATTCAGTATTCCCGAATTATCATCAGACGCTCGCTCACGTCATCCAACCACAACAACTTCAACTTTCACTGCAACTGATACCAAAAACAACCTCGCTACAAAATTTAGTACTACTATTTCTACTGTTGCCATGACCACCACTGCCACAAACGTTACTACTACTGCTTTTACTGTTACTACACCTGCTACTGACGCCACTACAGTCGCTACCAGTACTTGTAACAACATTGGTGATATGCATGGCACAACCGTTGTCAAAAGTTTTAATGATGGAGACAATATTACTTTAACTACTGTTGTCAGCAATATTTATACTAGAGCAAATAGTATCATTAATAATAAGAGTAATACTACAAACGATACTGCTAACATTATTACTATTGATTTGAATGTTACAACTGCTACTGGCAATGTCTCTAATGATTCTGATGCAAGCTCTGTTACTTCTAAGTATCATTCTAGTAGTTGCAGTGTTTATAAGTATAGCACGTTAACAGAATGTCAGCGGATTCTTGAAGGCTTGAATGTTTCTACGCTTTATAAGTGGTCTGAGGTGGTTATTATTCTTGGCTTCAATCATTAACATTATGAAAAAAAAGATTAATAAAATTGTTGATATATGTAGGTAGGTACAGTTTATTTATCTATCTTAAAAATTTCATTTATTTATATAAATTTATGAATAAAATATTATTAAATATTAAAATATTAATATGTTAATATAATTAATTTATTCATTTATAATAAATTGATTTATTCATCTTTCATTTGCATAAAAGTCAACATTAGTATTGGTTATTTTCTTTGTTGCTCTATACTTTGGTTTGAACGACAAATGTATCACGTACATTGCTTCGATCACTTTGTTTTCGAACCCGGTACCACAACGCAGGACTAACTATTACGCTATCTTGCTGCCAAATTAATTTTTAAAAACTTTTTAAATTAATTATTATTAACCAATTATTATCAAATAATGAGAAAAATACCAATCTTATTTCTGGAACCAAATACTAAAACCAAATAATGATGAAAAAAACAGAGCCAAAGATCATTGATAAGAAGAGAAAAAGAATTAACTAATTTACTTCACAAAATGATTAGCACATCACTGGATAATGTCACATCTCTGAAATTATGTTTGGCCAATTTCTTGCACAAGAAGTCGGCTAAAAGTTTGAGATCAAGACAAAGGGATACTTTTGACAGGCTAGTACAGTGGTTAGTACTACTACTACTACTGCGGCTGCTTGCTACTGCTGCTTGCTACAGCTACCAGTACAACTACAGCTGCATGCTGCTGTTACAATGATAATGATGATGATGATAATTATTATTATACTTACATATACCTTAAATTTGTAGAGCATTTTTTTAGAGTTTTTCTCAGATTCGTTAAAATTAGTTGACTGATAACAATGATAATACGAATATTAATTACATCAACAATACTTACACTAGTAATAATAGTCTATAATAGTGATTATAATAGCGATAATATTTTTATTGTAATAAAGATGAACGGTAATAATTTTCTTCTACACTAGCCTTCCGTACGTGCTAGATTCTTTTTTGGCAGTTGTCATGGAAACGTGTAAACGTCTGGAGTCATTTGAGTACACGAGTGTAAGTGATGGCAAGGGTGGTGAAGATGTTGATGACGACCGCGAAGATGATGTTCATATCAGATCTGTTCTAAAGTTAGTTGTATTGTGGTATTCGTGTAGTTTATATTTCACTTCCTACCTCGGGAAACTGGGTTTCTGGACGCTAAACGAAGATTGATTGGTTTATAGTTTATATTTTAGTTGCAGTAATAATACTATTAATAATTACATATGATGAATTAATATGACTATAATTATTATTAGGATGATAATAATGATTGTTTTAACCTTCCATACATGTGCCAGATACCTAAATAGGCTCTCCACATATCAGGATAACCTAAGATCGACATTCACCACCAACAAATGGATGGAACTTGGTGACAGATACATAACATTACAACAACAACAATAACAAAAACGGTGATGATGACGTCCCATTTAATCACAACAACAAAAAATACATCACATTACAACAACAACAGTAACATTGATGACATCAGGACACATCACAACAACAACAACAACAACATTAAAAGACTTGTAGAAATAAACACACCTACATACTTTTAATCACAAATATGCTGGAATTCATTTTTTTAATCTGGAAAATACTTTCTGTACTAAGAACACCTCAGACTCAATCCCCCGCAATAACGTTAACAAATTAATGAGCACAAACAAACGGACAGAAACGGACTGAGAGAGAAAGAGAAAGAGAGAGAGAGAAAGAGAGAGAGAGAGAGAGAGAGAGAGAGAGAGAAAGAGAGAGACAGACACACACAGACAAAAAGGTTTCAAAATAAGTAAACAGTATCTCCATAAAAGTACGCTATGTTAATTTAAACAATCAATATCAACAAATCATAATATAACGGTAAGATAGAGTTACTGTCGTATGAATATAAAATATTAATATATATATTTTATTGTCAGGGAGAGATAATGAAACCATAAAACCACGCATATAATTAAATTATTGTCTTCAACAATTCTAAAAAGATTTATTTTGTATATTCGGTCGAGTATGTGTCGTTGACCACTGCATTCTGGCGTGTGAAACGACATTCGAAGGACAGATTTTGTTTCATTAGCAATTAACGACAGCCAGCATGATTCGTTCATTCGTTTGTTTAATTTATTTTATTTTTTCCTTTGTTTCAATTTATTTGTGTTCAGCTCATTTTTTTCATGATAATTCTGTTTCCTTGACTGAGTTCGATAAACTTTTTATGAAATACTCTTCTTGAGGAAAAACACCGCAACCCTTTTTCGTACTATAAATATTTCAAATATGTAAGAAGTCTACCCTTAGTTGTGAAGCGTTTTGGCAGTTATGTCACAAAATTTTACAGCCACTGGACGGCAGATGACTTTTGAATATCGGGTGATGGGGACAGTGGCGTACCAATGCTGAAAGGCGCTCGAACAAAAAGCCTGCCGGTATGCTTTCATTCCATGTTTGTTTATAACTGAATAAGAGGAGTTCAGTTTAGAGTAGCGTATCCGAGAAATCTGGCCTGCCTACCTCTGTGTGTGCCGCCTTAGCGTAAAGTGCTTTTTTTAATTTTTTGTCAAATAATTACAAATAATGGTTTTGGATGTGTTTCTTGCATGGTTTCCTAGCGTACGAATTCGTTAGAAACATTGTTACATAAGGACTTTTGACTTTCTGACGAAGCTTTTGTAACTTTGTACAGGTCATTGGGGAGGTTGCGCATGTAGGACGGTGCCAAAATGTGGAATCCTTACAAAATTGAATTTCATAGAAAAGCTGGAAAAAGTTCAGCGAAGGGCGACGCGTGTGAGAACATCCTGCAGAGGTCTCTCACATGAGGACCGGTTGAGAGTTGCCATTTCTGGTCTACAGACGTTTAAGAGCCGATTTTATTTTGTCACATAGAATAATACATAGTCAGCTCCTTGCCTATGTTGTCCCTACATTACTGTTGGCACACGATGCTTGTACAAGGGGCCATAACTATAGGTTCTAGCCATAAAGACTGCCGTGAAATTTTTTTTTCAAATAGAGTGGTGGAAGAATGGAACAATCTGCCTTCGGCCGTTGTTAATGCCATCTCCTTGCGCGGTTTCAAGTCAGCAGTCGATAGTTACTACGGTGACTCCAAGTTCAGCTGGCCATCTAAGTTCTATTTTGTAATTGATCTGTGTACTTGTACAGTTAAATCTATTTCGTTTGTTGAATCAAAATTAGTTTCATCTTCCATTTAACGATTTATTCATCATTATTTTGGTTGATGCGTACGTTCTCATGTTTATATTCAGTTCAGCTCTGTTGACGCTGTTCTTGCTAAGCCCATCTGATTTATTTTTATCTTAATTTGATTTTTGAATTTCCTGCATTTGTTTAGCGAGGGGTCCGTGCCACCTATAATAATAATAATAATAATAATAATAATAATAATAATAATAATAATAATAATAACATAATAACATAATAAAAATTATTTAGTTTTTCCTTCAATGGTACCTTCAAACAAAACACACCCGTGCACACGTACATGCACGTACACATGCATCCATATACACGTACACATGCATACATATTTTATGTATACATGCACATACAAATAAACAAAAAGTTGAGCAAAACGTTGATGTATACTCTATTTAATCATTGGCGGCACTTGTGTAACATTTGTCCATCCGTCGTTATCTATTTCATCCACATGTCCAAGCGAATAACTATTGAATCGCCGTTCACGTATCCACATTCTTCGCTGTATGTACAAATCTGATATTATGGTACTTCTTATCTTTCTTCTTTTTTATTTGTTCGTTTGTGTGGTGTGGGTTTATTGGATGTGGCGCGAGTTTACTGGATGTGTGGTTTGGGTTCACTGGAAGTGTGTGTGTTGGGTTACTAGAATCATGTGTGTTGGGTGTCTTCTAAAAGTAAAAATGATGATAGACGATTGAATTGTTTTTTTTCTCAAGTCATTTACTCTTGAGATCAACTGTTTTGCACTTTAATGTTCTAAAAAAGGTTTCAAGAATATTAATTTTTGTTCTGTTAACAATTTTTGATTATTTATTGGAAAAATATTAAAACGGATTTTTCATCAGCAATCAAATTAGATGCATGTCAATCTAAGAAACTGAAAATTTGTTAGGAAAAAGTTTGTTGGAGAATTTGAAAATAGTTTAATTCTCATATAAATACAGTTCAGTTATCACGCATTACAATGAATAAATCCAACCTTAAAGAAACTAACCAACAAAATGATTTTCATAAAAATTAACAACGAAACAAACAAAACTGAGGACTTAAATTTTTGTGTGTAATCTATTAGTGTTCTACACCCACGTATCAATAAATTATGCAAGTAGAAATTGGATACGCCCTGCAGATGAGCGGATTCCCTAAGTCAAAAGTTTAAAATTTTTTTGCATGGGTTTGCCCAAGCTTATTTCTACAACCAAACAAATGAAATTTTTTTTTGACTTGTATAGACATTTCAAATTTCAATGTAATTAATTAAATTTGGTTCATCTCGAACTTTTTTAAGTAGCATTTCAAAATTTTACATCTGGTCGGTTCTTTTAATATAAAATTATTTTAATGAATACAATTTGGGATTTTAACAGTGAACGAAAAACAGTTATAAAAAACCGTAAAGATATGGTAAATAAAAAATACTAAAGATAGAATATTTAAAAAAATTATAGAAAGATTAAAACTAGCCTGGCAAAGAGATACAAATTGAATAAGAAAACAAATTTTCATTTTGAAGGTTGTTCCGGTTAACGTTTTTATCATTTCAGTGATAACATCTTTGCAGGAAATAGACACACATATGAAATAGATGAACATAAACTCAAACAAACATACAAACCCGAGCAGACATAAGCATAGCACGTACACATTCAGAAACCTTGTTTAATTTTTAGGACAATTAGGACTGATGAAACCTCTGCCATTCTCTGCTCACTAGAGTAAGTATACTAGAGTAGA